TTGGTTGACTTTAAATATCGATAACATGTGGTCCTCCAATAAAGTGAAGGACTGGAGGGATATTTTCTTTACTACTTGTTGGTTTTTGTGGAAGTGGAGAAATTTGGAGATCCATGAAGATCATTTCTGTCATGATGAGCAATCACAGGCTTCAATTTGGATGTTTGTCCAACAGATTCTGCAAGCCCGAATTTATCAGCGCCGTGGTGATTCCAACGATAGCGTTTGGACAGCCCCCAAGCAAGGGTGGGTTAAGTTGAATTGTGATGGAGCTTCTTCTAGTGGCATGAAAAAAGCTTGTTGTGGTGGTATATTAAGAGATCACAATGGATCCTTTTTGGGAAGCTTCTATTGTAATTTAGGTCCTGCAATCGTCTTGATGCAGAATTATGGGGATTACTGAAAGGTTTGGAACTGCTTTGGGGAACAGGATTAAAAAGAATAGAGCTAGAATGTGATTCTAGCCAAGCCATCCAGATGTTAAAGGAGCAGCATGAAGATCCTAGGGACTCTCAAGTCACTAGCAGATTGAGATTATGGTTAAAAGCATATTGGACTATTCATCTTGTTCATACCAAGAGAGAAAACAACAAATGTGCTCATTGGTTAGCTAAAGCTGGACAGACTAATAATCTCCATTTCAAGATTTTTAAAGATCCTCCTCCTCAGTTGATGGAACTTATAGTTGCTGATGCTAGAAATATGTCTAGCTTGTTAGTTTCTGATTTGTAATTTCTTTCTATTTCTGGGGCTTAGCCCCTCTTTATTTACAAAAAAATAAAATAAAAAATAATATAACAACTAAAGTGACTTCACTTGGTGGTTAGCATTTCGGAACAGTGACAATTTTGTCACGCCTGGTCAAAAAAATTACCAGACTGTCACGTCAACAGTAATTTTTTCCATAATGCCACATGATATAATTCGTTACACTGTGTAGCGAAATATGCTTGCAAATAATTCGCTACACAGTGTAGCAAATTCTGCCACGTCAGAATGCACAGTGAGCAAAAATGACACGTGTCAAACAGGTAGTAATTCGCTACCCTGTGTAGCATATTATGTCCGCGAATGATTTTTTGACACGTGGCACACTTTCGCAGGAAAAAGCTGACGTGTCATAATTCGCTACTACTAGTAGCAAATTTGCTCTGCAATATGACCACGTGTCACAAAATTTTTGGCCACGAAATTCGCTACGAGTGGTAGCGAATTATGACACGTGGCAGTCTGGTAAAAAACAATGTTCGCGTGACATTTGGATAAAATTTTTGACAAAAGGTGACATTTTGATCACGGTTCCTAGCATTTCATTTCTCTACTCTGAGGTGCTGTTTGGTTTGAGTCTTTTCAACATTTAACCATCTATATGAAGTAAGGTTTTGTTAAAGCCAATGTTTGTTTCAAAGGATTTTCTCCAAATAACCATCTATGTAAGTTGCATGTCTTTCCCATCTTTGCATCAGAAACCAATGTTTCTGTACTGTTTAGAAAGCTAAATTGCATGTGGTTTTTGATGAAAACCGGATATGCATCTTTGCCTCGGTAAGGTTTTTGACGTTGGGGGGGAGTGAGATGTGTTGCGACACACTCATTTTTAATTGTATCGGGGTTGTTTTTGTCATTTTATTCTATTTTTCCATCTATATTTTATCTACAACCAAACATAGATTTTAAAAAAGTTACCTAATTTTCTGAGTAAAGTTTTTTCCCACCAAACAACTTTTTTTTATATTTTTCTACCTATCTCACTTTATCTATCTTTCCAATCATTTCTCTATCTATTACATTTCCCTACTATTCTAAAAAATTTTCCTCAACCAAATGCCTCCTGAGTGTTAAGTTCAAATCCTCTCACTAGACTTGATATCATGCTGATGAGAGTGTTTCAAGTAAGGCTCTATTTTACAACTAAATAAAAAGAAATATAAAAGAATATGTGAGGTTATACTTTCAATCTTTTTTCTCTTACAATCTCTTATAATTATTTTATTTATCATTATATCAAAATTAAATCAACAATTATAAAATAACATCAAGTGATAGCCATTGATTTGATTTTGATCCAATAATAAAAAAATATTTATAAAAGATTGTAAAGAAAAAATAGATTATAAGTAATATTTCCCACAAAAGAATGATAAAAACAATGTAGGACCTTGTCCTCACACTAAAATACTTTATTTACAATATTCTCAACAAGACAACAAATATTAAAGCATGATGATACAATAAACTTATAATTTCATACGTATTAATTAAAATGTTTGTGTATGATTGAATGAGACAATAAATTTTGAGAATTTTGTAATCATTTATTATTTATAACTAAATAATATAAATGATTTGTTATTAAAAATCACTAAGATGGATTCTTTTTCCTGCATACAAAAGGTCAATTAAAGAGGATAAGAAAAGTTCACCCAAAAAAAAACGGAGGATAAGAAAAAAAAAACAACTCAAGTAAGGAGATTACTTCATTTACTTGACTTTGAAAAGTAAAGAGTACTCTATTGGGCTGTTAACCCTCCACTAATATCAATCAAAAAAAGAAAAGAAAAAGAGAGTACTCTGTTTGTTGTACAGGGGTAGATTAATTGCACTTGTGTGTTTGTGTGTAATGATAAGGTTTAACTCAGAGTAAGATCTCATTTTGGTTTTTTAAAAATGGGATTAGTATTTTTTATACTGTAGAAAATAATTTTATCTTCTATATATATATATAAATGTGTGAGGCTCACATTTTTCTCTCTCACTTCTCTTCCCATGATTCCACATGGGACCAATATACTTTTATGTATGTGTAAGAATTAAAATTATATCCTACAACTATCTAGCTAATCTTCATACTTAAATATCGTTACTATATAATTAAATTTATTTCTGAAAAGCCTAAATCAAGATCAAATCTATGAAAGCATTGGTTTATATATGATCGGATAATTGTTCTCGGATAACATCAACTCCACTTGTAGCGGTTAAAAAGTTCCGGCCTTCCAAATAGGAACTTACTAATCCATTAGTATACCATGAAGTTACAAAGGTTGTACATGTAAATATGATAAACATTAATTTCTTAAAAAATATATCATTTGTGAAATCAAAGGTAAAAGATATAAACTTTTCCCTAATTTAAATATATCAAATCATGTCATTGGCTGTAACAAAGGTTTTTTTTTTTTAGCAAAGTACTGTAGCAAACATTTACAAGGGTGCTTTTGATATACATTTTTCAAAAAATGATTTTATAATATTTTTTGGTAGTTATCATTTTAATGTCTAGAAACACAAAGATAGATTTTTTATATTTATTTTCTAAAATAATTAGTGTTTATTGAAAATGCGAACATATTTTTATTTGAAAATATATTTTAAAAAATAAACAAACGGACGCTAATAATATTTACAAGTTGATAATTTGCTTAATGAAAGAAGATTATTGAAAATGTAAATCAAACCCAAATCTTATATAAGTTGAGGCATCAGAATTAGTTATGTTATGTATAGTTAATATGTGTTTAAATTTAAAAGAAGACTACTATAACACATAATTTTTAACACACTTTTTATTATTAAGTACATTGTATGCGAGTTTCATCAAAAAGAGAGTAAACCGAAATTATTATTAAGATTTACATTAAAAAAATTCTATTAAAAAATGTTGAAACGAATGTCAATTTTTTAATATTATTAATATTTTTGTTAAATATAAAGAGGTATATTATATTATTTAATTTTTTACTGTAATTATTTGATTAAACGAACTCGTTATTGAATAGAATAACTTTAGAATAAAGAATTTTTGTTCCAAATGATAAAGAAACAATTGATTGATGAGTCGGCTCAAAAAATATTAATAATGATAATAATGAATTGATGCAAGATACCGGGTCGGAGCTAATTAATGCAGATCCAGATAGCAGATGCGATTAATCACATTTCAGTAACATAGTTTAAAATGACTGCTTTTTCATCCTTTTGCCCGTCATTAATTATTTAATAATTATTTTATTTCTTATTCAGAACTATCTATCAATTTGTCTCTCTTTAATCGATTAAATCAAAAATTTAATCAATTAAATGATCAAAATAGAAAAAAATCGTTGACTTGAAGATTTAGTCGATTAAATCTCTCTATTTAATCGATTAAATCTCTCATACATAAGGTTGTTCTTCTGATAAAGAGAAAGATTTAATCGATTAAATCTTCATTTGACCACTTAATCGATTAATTTTTTGATTTAATCGATTAAAGAGGGACGGATTGGTAGATAGTTGCGATAAGGGACAAAATAATTATTAAATAATTAACGAGAAGCAAAAAAGTGAAAAAACCTTAAAATGACAGTAACATTATACGGTACTTTTTTATAATAATTTTTTATTTTATTGTCTTACATCGCAAAATTGTAACATATTTTTTAATTTACAGCTATGTAATTGATAAAAAAATAATTTAATTTTTCAGAATTATTTTTTCACAAATTTTAAATAAACAATCATTATTTTTATGACAAAAAATTAGAAATTACAGTTACAATTAAAGATTTTTATGAATTTATAAGGGGGCGAGTCGATCGTTCACCCAACCGTTTCCTCACTTCATCATTGATTATTATATAAAAATTAAAATATTAGAAAATTTAAAATAATTTCGGATCAATTGAATATGGGAAGACCTGTTTTTTTATCACAACCTTTTTTCTCAAAAGAAATATATTACAACGTGTTTTTTATTCAATACGTAAGCTAATTCAGTTGTAAAACAGATCACAAAGACACTTAAAATGAAATTTAACAACAATAACGGAATAAATATGTAATAATCTCAGTAGGTTAGCAGTGGTAGGAACTAAGAAAAAGCGCTTAAAAAATATCATTATTATGATTGTCTAAAAATTTATATAGAATAAAATTACAAATCGTATATCATACGCGTATAAAAAAGGACAAGTAGAATTAGAAGGGTTTTATTGGCAAGTCCAAACCGACAACAAAGTATGGCTTCTAACGGTGTCTCTGGGAGTGTTGCATTCTCATTGCTGCTGCTACGATTTCTGTTTGTATTGCTGCTACTAACTTGTTCTTCAGCTGTGGGTGTGGGTGAGTGCGATAAGCCTGCATCTGTATTCGTGTTCGGCGATTCCAACTCGGACACGGGTGGACTCGCCTCTGGACTCGGTTTCCCAATCAATTTTCCGAATGGTCGCACTTTCTTTCACAGATCCACTGGTCGCTTGTCCGATGGACGCCTCGTCATCGACCTACTCTGTAAGTGTAGTGTAATAGTTCCCTTCGCAATTTCATTTTTATTTTACTTACGTTATTTAAATCACAGAGACACACAACACAATACTCTCAAGTCCAAGCATTTCATTTTCATATGTTTGAACTTTATTATAATTAATAATTAACAATGCAAAGTAGTATATTAGTATTAATACAAGAATAGATCGACGTCATTAGTCATTATTGGAGAGTGATATATGGTAGGGGGGGATACGAATACGTTGTCGTTAGATTTGACAAACAATGCTCTTAGTCCATCTTGGCCGTCTATTGTTGATCTGGATCCGACGGTGAGTTTTGTTTTATTGGTGGCCTCATGTAGGGCCCACGCTTTCGATATCTTCGATCTTGTGTCCGAACGAACCCATGATGCGCCCATCTCTTGCGGTTTCATTTCAAGACTAACGGATCTTGGAAACTCAAATTTCCCAATATGTCCTTTCTTACCATTCCTTTTTTCAATTTCTAAATATTGTTTTACATCTGATTTTTTTTTTTTAATAATAAAGGAAGGCAAATATTCAGAATTTTTTTTTCCCTTAATCAAACACAAAAGCATAATAGATTAATGTAGAAATTAGGGATAACATAAACTTCTTAAATTTTGAAAGATATTGGTAATTTATAGGTCTATAACCAATCTAATTTGCGTTCCCAATGTTTAGAATCTTTAGATTAAGGAAAAAGACAAAAGAAAAGAAAAGAAAAGAAAAAAAGAAAGCATGACCAAATTAAGTGATGTTCTGTTGATGACCATCGAAGCACGGGAACTTTTCGAATAAATAAATTTTTTTTTTTGTGATTTATAGTCAAGAATTTTGTTCAATATTGCATGCACTCTACTCTAGATGTGCTTATATTTTGATAAAAATAGTAAAAGATCCTGGGATGATAGCAAATATATGTAAAAATGGATCTGGATCCTCCCAAGTCCCAACTATGGTGACAAGGTCATACTATAAGAGAAAAGACAAAATCAAAATCAATAGATTTTACCAAATAATGGTGAGTCCTGCCATGTTAGTAGCTAATAAGAGAGAATTCAAATCCTGTTAAAGTACTACTGTGCAATTTGTACCATGTATTTTACTGTTTGAAAATAATTTTTACTGACAAATGGAGGTAATAAAGAAAATACTGCCTGTGAAAACTGATTGATGAGGAATTGGGATGCAAAGATGCAAGATTCATATTGTATATCCAAATATCCTTCAATCTGAAAATATTTTCCTTCCAACATTTGCAGGCCAAAGTTTGAATATAAGCTTTTTGACTCCATACTTGGACGCCTTGTCTGGATCCACATTCACAAATGGAGCAAACTTTGCAGTGGTGGGGTCCTCTACCCTCCCCAAATATGTTCCTTTCTCTTTAAATATACAGGTCATGCAGTTCCGGCATTTTAAAGCTCGTACCCTAGAACTTGTTACCTCAGGTAACTTTCCTTCACTATTTATTTCCTTAACTTTGAAAAAAATTAGATAAAATATGTTGTAGATATATAGTCTCACATTGGTTGTCACATTGGTTGTATGTGCAACTAATGTGGAGTTTATAAGGCCTTGGACACTCCCACCCTTTGAGCTAGCTTTTGGGGTGGTGTATCCCAAGGTTCTTTACATGGTATCAGAGCCTCGCCGCCCCTCACTTTCTCTTGTGGCGTTTCTTAGCACAGGTAGGTTGGGCCTGTTGCATTGTCCACGCTTCAAGCCCAAAGGGCTTTCGTGTGAGGGGACGTGTTGAGATATATAGTCTCACATTGGTTGTATGTGCAACTAATGTGGAGTTTATAAGGCCTTGGACACTCCCACCCTTTGAGCTAGCTTTTGGGGTGGTGTATCCCAAGGTTCTTTACATCTGTTGACATTGTACAGTCTTTGTGGCCCTTGTTTTAAATATTTGACTGCTATCTGTGTTTTCCTCTTATTAGTATGCATGCTCAATACTGATTTTAGACACTCGGTAAAGGTTTAATCTGTCATATTTATCTCTGGAATATGTATTCATATTCACTTTCATGAGTTTAAACCAGGTATATATCTAGTGTGACTTAGATACTCTATTTGTTTCTGATCATTGAAGCAGCAATTTGATTAAGAAAAAGAATGGTCAATACTCAATGGTATAAACAGAATTGAAGCATTATATATAATATACCTATTATTGAGGGAGTTTTATTGTGATAATCAATATCTCATTTGAGTTCTGACAAATATTATGTATTAAACTTAGTTTTTTGTTGGTCGATGAATTATGCCTGATTCATTGATATATTTACATGTACATCAACTTGAGTTATCACATAATAGCTATGGGATTGGAGTGAATGTTATGCTAGTAAATCTGTTCAATATTCATTTGCCGGTAAAACACAAAAGAAAAAACTAACTGATTGCACTACAAACTTATAGGTGCAGGAAATTTGATCAATGATGAGGGCTTCCGGGATGCACTCTACTTGATTGATATTGGGCAAAACGACCTTGCTGATTCATTTTCCAAAAATCTGTCATATGCGCAAGTCATCAAGAGGATCCCAGCAATTATCACTGAAATCGAGAATGCTGTTAATGTCAGTGTAGTGTTCTTTAAAATTATTGAGTAAACTTGCTTATTAATTATATATGAAACTGATTGTTTATCTTTATTAGTATTGGTGATTCAGGTGTGATCCCAATTCTCTTGCTCATCCTTTATGACCAAAAATATAATTTCTCCTTTTCTTCTAATTTATTTATGAGATTTTCTTTGCATCAGCAAAGTTTCGTTGTGTTTATGATGCATGCTTTGAAATTCTTTATCAGAAGTCACTTGATTATATATAAAGAGAGAAGAAATGGGTACCACAACTACTAAATATCCTCCCAAAATCACAACCGGTACTTTGTTGAATAAATACTTTGTAATTCATTTTTCTCAACTTCCAGAAGCATGCATGGAGGGGACATGTCAGCTTTTAACTGTCTTCTTCCCAAGTAGCATTGTTGGTTTTACAGTTACTCGTAGTTAGACTTTCTGTCATAGCTCATTATTGGTTCCATATGCCACCCGATTGTATTTATATACAATTCAGTGTTAAGTAAATTCACTTCCTCGTTTCCCAAATATTGAGTTTCTACTATAAGATTCTTGGTATGCATAGATTGATCTGACGCAAGCCATTTTGTCCAAAACCTCTTGATCGTGTTATTTTTTCTGCATTGACTTATTTAACATTCATAGAGTATGATGCTTGGTTCCTCTATCTGTATGCAGAATTTGCATAATGAAGGTGCCAGGAAGTTTTGGGTTCACAACACCGGGCCCTTGGGATGTCTTCCTAAAATACTTGCACTGGCTCAAAAGAAGGATCTGGATTCATTCGGATGTCTTTCTAGTTATAACTCTGCTGCAAGATTGTTTAATGAAGCGCTGCAACGTTTGAGTCAGAAACTAAGAACTGAATTGAAGGATGCTACTTTAGTCTATGTTGATATTTTTGCCATTAAGTATGACCTCATCACAAATGCCACCAAATATGGTAATCCACGCAAGCACTTTCTTCTCATTTAAAAGTATTGATTATTATTCCATTCGCAATTATGATGCTAATCTGAATCAAGTTTTCTTGACTTCTAAGTTATTGCATCTTCCTTTGGAAAACATTGTTGATATTACCATATGATTGTGATGGAGTTTTTAAATGCATTATTGATTAGGTTTCTCAAATCCATTGATGGTATGCTGCGGTTATGGAGGTCCTCCTTACAATTTTGACGTAAGGGTGACATGTGGTCAACCTGGTTATCAGGTTTGTGAAGAAGGATCTCGGTATGTGAATTGGGATGGAATCCATCATACTGAGGCTGCAAATACATTGATAGCTTCTAGGATACTTTCCATGGCTTATTCAACACCACCGACACCTTTTGATTTCTTCTGCCGCCACTGATTATCATGTTTTCGCACGCTATTAATTGATTCTACGGTTAGTTAGTTCATAAGTTGCTGTCTTACCATCTCTGTTAGTTCTCTATGAACAGTGTTTGTCAATTGTCATTATTCATTAGCCAGCTCACGCTGAAACACTAAAAAATGAGGGCCATGCAATTGGGCTGTAAAACTGGCCCATGTAAGCCAGACATTTGTTTTATTTCCCAACGGGGATGTATGATGTTATATGTAAACAATTGATATTAAAGGGTAGGCCACAGAAAATATAGGCTGGACCTATCCTTAAAATTTTCTTCCTTTATCATCTCATTTATGGGGGAGAGAGATTGCTATTTTTTATTTTTTTTTTGGGTAAAGAGAGATTGCTATTAAAGTGTTGAGAAATAAACAAAAGGAATTAAATATGTATATAATCTAATTATGTGATTTTTTTTTTCTTGTACTTATATTTTTACTAACAGTATCTCCCAAGTTTTACACATTCAGTAATTAAAAATCTTTCCTCTAAACCTAAAAATTAAAGATTGAAAAAAATCTTTCCACTAAATAACTGTTATTCAAAAGTTATAATTAAGGTGATATATATTAAATAACACAGTATTTCTTTCTCAGGTAACACCTAGGAATTTTTTCATTATAATATATTGTTTACTCCCCCAATTCAACATAATTTCATTCAATTCCCAACTATGCACTATTGTAAATCATTTCCAAGTTGAGCACATGCCGAGTTGTTGACGGGTTTGTCTTTTTTTTCCTTTCCTTTTTCCCTCACTTCCCAAATTTCATTTACTGTACAGAAACTATGCTTCAACTGGGATCTACGTGGTTTGTAGGCTTCCGAACTTGGTCCCCTATTTTGAAGGCAGCGCATAATAGTTGTCTTGCCGTTATGGAGTTGTCATTGTTCAATCATTTACTCTATGACCCAGAGTGAAATATATGGAGCTAGTTATCCTCGTGTAATTGCTATTTGTAACTTGTAATCAGTGGCGGAGGAGCTAGAAAGATAAATGAGTCACGGCAAAAAAAAAATTAACTAGTGCTATAAAAGCTTAAGTTGTTAGATGAGGGTCTCTTTAATGGTTTATATGGATAATGCACAAGCTACCTAACTGTGCTAAGAAAATTCCACAAGAGAAAGTGGGAGGCGGTGAGGATCGAATCCGGGGGTTCTGATACCATGTAAAGAACCAATTCAACCCAGAAGCTTAAGTTGTTAAGTGAGAGTTTCTTTACTGGTTTATATTATACTCTAACAAGTGCCAACTATTAAATTTTATCCCTTTAACTTAGCTATGTTGGATTTGGATCCTCTCATGTGAAAAAGTGGTCATGTGGTCAGGTTATTTGATCACAACCACTCATATCAAATAACATGATCACATTTTCACGAGGATTCATTCGCGCTATGTTGCAATAATTAAGACTAAATTATTTCATTGACGATTTCAAGACACTATTCAAGACATCATAATGAATTATGATGCATTTAGGAGAACAAAGCCCAATGCTCAAATGAATAATTCAAGAACATAGCTCCTTACCTAAGTAGTCACAAGTTATTCTAAGTACTATGGAACTACTATATATGTTTTGTAGGTTTTCAATGATTGATTAAAATGCTTGTAATTAAACATACGCAGTCCACACGAAAGATAAAACAGCACATGAAAAATCCGAGACAGTAATTTACAAAGCTTGATGGTTCTTTTCCGATGTACAACAGCTATATGATCAATCATGTAATAGCAATGAAAACTGAATTACTAATTAAGACACATCAAGGTAAGCAAATCATAGCCAATCCATCATATATATGGTATATTATAAAGAAAGATTTAAGTCTAAATGATCACTTGCTTTCTCTTTCTCTTCATTTTCGGTTGCCGGCGCCGCCGCTGCTATGGGTGCTTCTGGCAAATATTCTTTCACCTCTTTCTCTTTCTCCGAAGGACCTGCTGCATGAGGAGCTGAAATATTACGCTTTCCGAATTCTCTATAATCAATGAAATCTTCTGGTTGAAACGTTGGATTCCAAATACCCTTTTCCTTTTTTTCCTTAGAGAGGAGATCGCGTACATCTTTTGTGCTCTTTATCAAAGCAAGGAACTTTTCCATCTTCTGCTCCTCGTTTTCTTCTTCATTCTCTAATTTTCTCTTCCTTCTTTCTCCTTCCATGCTGCTTAATTAATGTATCAACACACTGGCTGACCTGAGAGTATATAAGCCGTATAGAAAATCAAGAATATAGCGAGGATTATGTAGCTAGTTACCTATATATATATATATAATAACAGGATAATAGAATATGGAAATATGAGTCCTTCCTCTCCTTTTCTTCTTCTTTTGCCCTACAACATGATATAATTGGTAGCTGAATGACCTGGTCAATGACCTACAAGTGAAGTGAACAGTACTATAAATAACTAGCTGAATGACTTGGTCAATCACCTACAAAAGAAAGAGTGGAAGTGAAGCGAACAATCTAAATAAGAATTTTTTTTTAGTACAAAAAAGTTAGGGCAAGAGAGACATCGGTATGTAATCCACTAGAGTCAGGGTTAGAGCAGACCTGTTCAATCTAGCTCTATAAGGATTTACGTTAGGGAAGATGGAAAGAAAGTCTGTTTTACAGTTTATCCACCAACATAAACCTCAAAGCGACCAAAGGGAATCGAACTCACGCCTTTTTGAGGTATGGGCCGACTCCTTAGCCACCTATGCCACCGCATGTTGGCTCTAAATAAGAATTTATACTTTGCATTCGGATCACAACCCTTGTTGACGGAACCGTGGAGGTCTAATTTTGCTGTAGATCTTTGATTTATTTTATTTTAGTAATTTATGTTTGGAACCATAAATAGCTGCTCTTATTTAGAGTTTTTAAACTTGTTTATATTCTCCTTATAAATTGAGTAGTGAGTACTATAATAAGTGTGATGAGAAAAACACAAAAAAAAATATTATTGGATGTAATCCATATCAAATGAATCAGGTTAAATATGTGTTTCTATTTTTTTTTTCTCTTTTTGATTTACAATTATGTGTGTGCGTGCCATGTCCCAACAAAATACAAGCTTCAATGTAGTTGAGAAACGAGTTGAGTCAACAAATGAATTGCGTACTGAGTTCAATGAACCAAAACCGTGTTTGATTGAATAGCAAAAGAGATAATAAAAATAAAGAAAAACGCGTGTGATTTTAATTGCTAGACAGATTACTGGATTGACAAGAATGCCCCTGAGGATGAAAAAAATGAGCAATGAAAATGAGGGTAGGATGGTAAGTTGGTACAGATAAATTGTTTGAAAGCATTGAACATGCATATGGATGTATATGTGTCATCTAATGACGTAATATTTCCACCTTCACAATAGTGCGTCACGACTGCTTTATGGTAAATGATGTGGCATCTTGTGCGGAGATGGATTCACTCAAGGGAATACTTGGTAGGTGATGATGACCCCATAAAAAACAATTACCAAGGGAAACTTTGTTCCTTAATTAATTATGCATGTCTCAACCCGTTCGTCACAATATCATCATCAGATTGAAATTAGTTTCTCTGGTTCGTAATGTAATCTCAACTGTACGTCAAACAAGATATTTATTTAATAATGTTCACAACTTGGATGTTATTATCTTGAGAATATATATATGAAAAAGTAACTTATACCGATATAAAATAAGAGAAATAATTATCTCATGTTGTAACAGAGACAAAATAGTGGGGTCCATTTTTTTTTTTTGAAAAGTAGTGGACCCCACAATTTTATCTCTGTTGCATGAGATAATTATCTCATGCAATATGAGATTAATAGATCCCATAAAATAATAAGTTTTGCTTCTAATTTTAATGGTTCTAATTTATTATTACATGTACTAAAATTAAAGGTAATACTTATTATTTTTTTATCAATGTAAATTAATGATTATATATATAAAAGAAAAATATTAATCTCATGTCAATTGTCACATGAGACAATAACTCTCTCCTACACACTTAAAAAGGCATGGATCCCACTTTAATTTTTTTTTCTTTTTCCGTACAATGGAACTCACATAAAATTGTGAGTGCAACATGAACATATATCATGTTGCATAAGAAAATATAATCCATATATATATAAAGCAACTTGGATTTTTGAGAAGAAAAGTAAAGAACAAACTTTCGTTGATTTATTTATTATTGCTTAGTGGACCAATGTCAAGTCTTAAGTGCGAGCAAACCAAGTCAATGTCCATAATTATTTTAAAAAATAGGTTTAGTCTAAGGTTTTTTTTTTTACTCTTTTGTCCTTTATTAATTAAAAAATTATTTTATCATGTGCCAAAATTATATATCAATCTGTCCCTTTTTAATCGATTTATATTGATTTTTTAATCGATTACAAAATCCATGTTTGACCATTGACTAATGATGTAATCGATTACATTATCATAAAATTAAGGTAAAATTTTGGAAGACCATAGTTTTTGGTTCGGAAGTCCGAATCAAATGATTTTTTTTTTATTCCACGTAACTTTTGAAATCTATGCACTGGAAAATTATATGAAACAACATAAAAATTATCTGATTCGGATACCTGGGTAAAAAAATATAGTTGTTCGAAGTTTTACAGTAAACTATCGTAAATTTTATGCCGCATTACACTCGCTGCTACTCCATCGAGTTTCAGACTGCCTGACAGCAATCTAACTGTTTTGACAACGAAATTCAATGTCAGTGATAGTGGCAAATAGTTTGGTGGCCTCAAGCAACATGTCTTTCATACAATTAAATCTATAATGCTAATAGGTTTTGTGATACTAAAAGCCCCTACCTTGGGAATTAGCGTAAATCTCAAAAAATTATGTGAAATAAAAAAAAATCTCTTGATTCGTATTCCTGAGCCAAAAGTTATGATCTTTCAAAATATTACCTAATTTTATAATGATGTAATTGATTACATTATCAGTCAACCGCTAAATATGAATTTTTTAATTGATTAAGTCATTTTTGTAATCGATTACATGATTTAATTAATTAAAAAATAACATAATCGATTAAATAGGAGCAGATTGATATATAATTTTAGTATAGGGGCAATATAATTATTTTTTAATTAATAAATAACAAAAGGGCTAAAAAAACCCTCTAGTCCAAGATGATTTGACTCAATGATTTAATTAACTGTTATAAATTGATAGGTGGGAATTATGTATTCCCCATTGTAGTGTAAAGATGAACACGAAGGAGTGAAGGACCACCGTGCTTTCCTTGGGGGAACTAAAATCCGATTCGTACGCGTTCCATGATGTAGGTATGGATGTATGCAACGCCAACTCATGATCTTGAATGATGCAACCCCTAAAGTGCAATAAAAAAAGGCAAGGATTATCCACGTGCCATACCCTCTTCCCTTTTTCCACTGAAAATCTTATTGCTCCATTAATTTGTCTAGTCTTATTATGAATTCCATTTTTTTCTCATGATTGTAAAGTTACCGTCATTTGACATAGCCTTTGGATAGGCTTGAGTTACCGTCACGCTGAAAGTGGCTAGCAACAGGACCTACCCACCATACAGAAGGAAGGATAAGTTTAGAAAGTCAACTTGTCAGAGATATAAAATCAAGCATGGCCTTCACCTCCTTTTAAACATTCAGGATAAGGAATCCATGAACGAAGTAGTTCGGAGTTGAACGTTGCTGTCCATACTTTTTCAATAAAAAAAATTAAATTTTAACACAAGGTTACTTAATATCTTAGAAAAATTGATCCTTCTCACACTTCTTTTTTTCTCTGAAAATTTATAAAAGAAAGAGAATACATCAATTGTTTAACCTTGCTCTCTTGGCTTTTCCCAGAGGTGACAAAGTAGATGAGGCGGCCATCAACACATCAAAAAATGAATCAACTCGCTTCGCTTTTAAAAGTGGGCTAAAAATCTCGACCCGTCACGTCCTGTTTGGCGGACTGGACGGATCAGCCGTCATTGCGAGCCTATTTTACACCGACCCGTCTCGTTCTATCTATATTCACCATCAACCCACCAAAAACTGAGTCTGTCCCACTGCACCGTTTGACAGGTGAGACGAGTTAGCCCACCAAGCCAATTCCTTCCATTTATTTTTCTTTGATTTCTTTTCTTCCTTTCTCCTCTCAAAATTCAGTCAAAATCTACACTTTTCAAGATTATATGATCGCCTAATATTCAATTGTCGATAAAATACAAAAATGAAGCAATTCATCCGTTGAAGTTTCTTCCAAAATACTTATTACAAAGCCGTGGTAGTCCTTATGAGGTTGGGTCCGGGAAAATCAAAAGTCCTTATGAGGTTGTCCTTTTTTATAGTTTATTATATAACAAGTTATAAGAAGAAAGAAAGAGTGAAATGCTAGTCCTCTAACCAACGGACACCGTGTTTTGCCCATAGGTAGTATGCCCCAACTGGACCGCGACCCCCCAACTCATAAAGCTCGACTGAAATATTGTCCTTGTCTATCTCGTTCAGAATTGGAGTTAGAATGTTCCACGCAGCTGCCACCTCATCACTTCTCATAAAAAGATGGTTATCACCATCAATGACATCAAGCAGAAGATGCTCGTATGAATCCGGCACCTCCATGTTGTACCTACAACATTAATGAAACAACCAGCAGCTAAATAAATGATATTGTCACACTAGCATGCTTTGCATCGTTTGGTCAAAGTGCAAGTGTAACGTAAACAAATAATCCAACATTTAAGTGCTTACTTGTCCTTGTAAAGCAAATTTAATTCTGAAGAGTCCAGTTGTAAGCCTAATCCTGGAACCTTATTGTTAACTCTCACCACCATAGCTTCATCAGGAACATCACGAAGAATGAGCTCATTTATGGCACGGTCAACGTTATGCCCGATGCATTCATGGTAAACATTTCCTGGAACGTGACGAAATTGAATCCGTATCTCCATTCTGCATTAATATATTTTCTAGCTTGGGTGAGCAAATAACATAACATTTGAACCACTAAATTTCAGACAAATTCTACATAAGCCCATAAATTATATGTTTCAAAGGAATTATTGCATGCAAACATATCCAAAAGAAAATATTGGATTTCCAATATTTCTTCTGTGTATAAGTTAAGACCTTGGGGCCGGAAAGGAAGTTGGTACTATTCATCCTTTCCCAGAATGACGATCAAATAATAACAAATCATACCATCCTTTTCCCTTTTATTTGATCGCTTTTTCGGATTGGAAATTTTATAATTGTTACAGGCTCAATACACTCCCTGGCTAGAAGACCTAAACTCACTGTGATAAGAAGAAATTATTGGAACAGGAATAATCATGCCAGGGAATCTAAATATCTAATCTAGTACATAAAAAATATACATCTAAAAAAAGTTGACAAAAGATAATGATTTTTACTGGTGTTTGATGAGTCCCAAGCCCGTTTTAACCAAAAATGGCACGCCATCCCACCGTGCATTGTCAATGTAAAGTGCAGCAGCGAAATAAGTAGGTGTCAGACCATTTAAGCAAACATCAACCTTGTCTCTGCTACTTGCTTTATACTGGCCAAGAATGACATCTTTAGGCTCCAATTCGCGAATTGACCTCAGAACCTTGACCTGAAAAGAAGCTTGTTACTAAAGCTACTGGGTGATAATGTGGAAAGCATCTTTGAAGTTGTCATTTGTGAAAAACGGCCCTAATATCTTAAGAAAAAGTTGTCCGTAACTAAGATTAAATATAGTATTAGTGTATTTGTTGTTTAAGTGTAGTTAAGTATGTTTTAGAGTAATTCCTTTAGAATTTTGCATTTTTTGCACGTCAGTTAGGTAATTTTTCTTATATTGCTTCTTTAACTTGAAGTTAATACAAGAAGGGAAGAAGGAAAGGCATGAATAGGTGGAAGAACTAAGAATTCACTGGAAAAGCAAGCTGTGATTCTAATGCCAAAGCACCAGAAGGCCAGCACCTAGGTGCAAATCGGGAAAATGACAAATACTCACGGGATAGCCAGGGCATAAGTGCTAGTTAGTCAGTGCCTCAGCATCCAACGGGCAGTGCTTAAGTGGTGCCTGCATGCTTCAAACTTCAAAGTACCCCACGGCAGCACCTGAGCACTAGAATGTCACAACTGAGGCAGTGACAGTTATTTTTGTCTGTCAGTATAAAAGGACAGAAGGACAAATCTAAAAAGACAGATTGGATCAGGGGTTGAACAGAGAAGGAAGCAAGTACAGTGCAGCTTAATTGGGAAGGAAGAAATCCTTACTATTGGAAGGTAAATGGATCTCCAATTCCCCGTCAATTTAACTATGGAGTTCATCTCTTCCTTCTGTTTTTCTTTCTTTAATCATGTTTAGCTAAACTTCTCTAGCTAGGGTCAAGTAACTTGAGCTGAATTGGATGTATCTCATATTTCGATTCAATTCAAGCATCTTCTTCACTAATTGAGTGATTAGTTATATTCTTAATGCTTTTTGTGAAGTTGCCGTTCATGAAATGATTTGGTGATCATGCTTACAATAGGAAAATTGTTGTCTGATAATGCATCTTGATCTAATCCCCATGTCTAGCATAGATCTACGAACAGATGATTGCTATGCATGTGGTCTTTCCAGAATTCCATCTTACTAGCATAGATAATCATAATTGATTAAAAGAGGATTAATATACAAAGGAATAGGTTATTAACTTACAATTAGGAATTCGACCATCCTCTTAAGATTAAGAGCTTGAAGGAAATCTAAATTTGGTTTGTCCAAGGACGAACTAAGTGAAATCCAACCCCAGCTTCCTATCTCATTGCTTAATCTTTTGGGTTCATTTTTTATCTTGTCATTCAATTTACTTAATTCAAAAAACAAGTATTACTTTCAGTTGTTTACTTTCATTCAAATAGAACTCCCTTTAAACCATTTCATATTTATCCAAATAGCTTCAATACATGAATTAGTAGTTGGTGACATGGACCTTTGTGAAAATGATACTTTAATTACTCTTTATTATTTATATGACTCGGTACACTTGTTGAAGTCCTATCACTAGGTATGTTATAAACTTATAGAGTTTATAATCTGTAATCTGTATGTATACCTTTTCATTTCGAATATCTTCTCCATCAAGGCTTATTGGTGGTTCCATGGCAAGCAATGCAATTGTTTGGAGCACATGACTGTGAACAATATCACGGATAATCCCATAGCCACTGAAATACCTGCATGGTTACCAAAGGACTAAGCTGATATCATATCATAAACAATTCCTTGTGAAGGAAAAAGTTCTTTATACATATTCAGTATAGAATAACATATTGCATTATATTTACTCAAATTACAATACAGCTACTATGATCACCTTCCAGGATGCACGCCCAAGTCCTCTGATAATACCACCTACAGTAATTTAATTATGCAGTTTTAATACAACAATTAAATTAGTTAAAGTCTAGAATTGAGGCATGCTAATCAGATTAAACAAGGGGGCTGACCTGTACATTATGTATGTAAGCACGATTCCAGAGTGGCTCAAAAACTAGATTTGAAAACCTTAAAACTGTGAGATTTTCGATGAGATTCCTTCCTAGAAGATGATCAATCCTGACAAAAGGTTGACATGAATCACCAATTTATGTAACACTGTTTCTGTGTGTGCTCAAGAGGTTCATCCATCCATGTCTATGAGTGCATGAGCTGATAGGTGAGAAGGGGAGAGGATGGAATAAATACCTGTATATTTGCTTTTCCTCAAACTTTGAAAGAAGATATTGTGTCAGCCTATGGGAAGAGAGCACATCAAAGCCAAATGGCTTCTCAACAATTACGCGATTCCATCCCTTTTGAGTCTGAGCACTGCTTGCAACACATGAAGCAACATCCAAAAGTGCTTCTTGTGGCACAGAAAGGTAGAATATCCTGTTGGTTTTGGATCTTCCCTGAGGTAGATAATAAGCTTATGAAAGAGTTTACTGGAACTCAATCAAGTAGAAAAGAACTTTCATTTATACCGGTGATATTTGTTCAAAGCATGGTGATATTTGTTCAAAATTACCTCGATTTGCTCCATTTGGGCATTCAGCATGGACATCCCATATTTGTTGTCATAGCCTCCATTAATGTAGAATGTTCTACCAAGGAAAGCATCTATTTTGTCCCCACAATTCTGGCTGAAAGTTTTTGTATTTCACACTATCCAAAAAGCTAGAATATTGAACAATATTGACTAAGCACAGGACAAAGATAAATGGAACTGGACATTGTTCTTTCATTCTCAAGTCAGTAAGACATATATAACTTTCTTTTTCTAATGAAAAGAACCATATTATTTACAACTATGGAATTGGATAATTAAACACATATAAAGGTTCACAAGTAAAAATAAAGTTCCAGGAGATTTTATCTGCTATCAGTTGGGAGTGAATTTTCATAAACCATGACCTAGCAAGCAGCTACCCAAATTGCCATATGTAAGATTCAGTGCTAAAGATTTTGTCTATGAATGGTGTAGAAAATTAGAATTCAAACATGTTTCCGTTTTTATTTCCTATTAATTAGGATTGATTATGATTGATTAGGATTGATTATGATTGATTAGGATTGATTATGATTGATTAGAATTGATTGTGATTAGGATTGTGATAGGATTGATTAGTCATCGCTTAGTCATTCTTAGCGATTCTTTCTTGTATAAATACTTACTCATGTAATTTATTCAATATCAATATACAAAAACTTCTTTTCAATATGGTATCAGAGCGGGTTCGTTCCTACCCTAATTCAAATCTGAAATAACCATCCAAACACTTCCATCACCGTCAAACACCTCCTAAACACTGCCTTGAATCTGTCCAACACAGAAACCTAGTTTACTGACCTCCGATCAAAAAAGTGAGTGACCATTCGACTCAGAAGGATCCGACGAGTCGACCGCCGCTGGACCCATCGCCGTCAGCCGCTGCACGCGCCACCACGCGCCGCCTTCCAGACGTTTTTTTTTTCCGTCGCGACTTGCACAGACCTTCTCGCCGGCTTCTCCCCTTCCTGTTCCAGAGGTCAGATCAAAAGTTTACAAAACTTGATTTTTCATCAACGGTCAACCCTTCTTTTTATTCATGGCTTCCTCAAAACACTCTTTTTATTACCACGAGCAACCTCCTAAGGCCACTAGTCATGTGGTCCAGCAAGGTACAACTTTCCATGTTGATAGTCAAAATCATTGGATCCTTGATTCTGGAGCCTCTGATCATATGACAGGTAATCTTGGCTTGTTTTGTTCATACACTCCATATTCTGAACCTTCTCGGGTCAAGATCGCCGATGGCAGTTTTTCCCAGATTGCGGGACACGGCACCATTAAACTTTCTGAGCTGATTACTTTGACATCAGTTCTTTATGTTCCTTCTCTGACTTGTAATCTCATTTCCATTAGCAAGCTCACCTCTGAGTTGCATTGCTTTGCTAAATTCTTTCCACATGGTTGTGTTTTTCAGGAACAGGACTCGGAGAGGATGATTGGCAGTGCTAGAGAGGATGGTGGACTTTACTACTTTGAGGAGGATGTGACTCATGAAGCTGTTTTCGTAGAAAAAAACTCTATGTTTCCTTTTGATTCATGTAATGATGTTATGCTGTGGCATCGTAGGCTAGGCCATCCAAATTTTATTTATCTTCAGAAGTTGTTGCCAAACTTATTTATTAATAAAAGTCCAAGTTTGTTTTCTTGTGATATTTGTCAACTTGCCAAGCATACTCGTGCTCATTATCCTTCTAAAGTTCACCATGACTCTTCCCCATTTTCCTTAATTCATAGCGACATATGGGCTCCAGCCCGTGTTAAAAATATTTCAAGTACTCGATGGTTCATTACCTTCATTGATGACCATTCTCGAGTTTGTTGGGTGTATCTTCTAAAGGATAAGTCCGATGCTGCATCCGTGTTTAAAAAATTTCATGCCATGGTTCAAACCCAATTCCAAGTTGCTATACAAATTCTTCGTACAGATAATGGCAAAGAGTATTTTAACTCTATTCTTGGAGAATATCTTTCCCAACATGGCATCCTTCACCAAAGCTCGTGTCCTGACACACCCCAACAAAACGGAGTTGCGGAAAGAAAAAACCGACATCTCCTTGAAGTTGCTCGGGCTCTTATGTTTACCACGAGTGTTCCTAAATATCTTTGGGGAGAGGCAGTTCTCACTGCCTCGTATCTGATAAATCGAATGCCATCTCGCATTCTGAAATTTCAGTCTCCTCTTTCTAGTCTTGTTCGTATCTTCCCTTCCTTCCGAGGTGTCTCCTCCTTACCTCTCAAGTTATTTGGTTGTGTTGTATTTGTCCATATTCCCTCCCATCAACGGTCTAAGCTTGATCCTAAGTCTCTCCAGTGTGTCTTTATTGGTTATTCTCCTACTCAACGTGGCTATAAGTGTTATTCACCCTCTCTTCGTAAGGTCTTTGTCTCTATGGATGTCACTTTTTCTGAGAATGACCCTTTCTTCCCCTCGACTTCTCTTCAGGGGGAGTCTATAGGAGTAGATGAAGATCAGTCATGGGAACCTATTAATGCCACAGTATTACCTCTACTTTTAGAAACAGGGGGAGCTACAGAATCCTCACCATCAGGAGCCTCCTCAAAATGGGGACAAGTCTATAGCAGGCGAAAGCCTCCTCAAAGTGTGAATAACCCAGAGCCTCTACACTGCCAGGATTCTGAACCATGTTCTAGTTCCAGCACCCCAATACTTGAGTGTCATGGTGAAAATGATCTACACTTGCCCATTGCTCTCAGAAAAGGTACTCGATCTTGTACTACTCATCCTATTTCTAATCATATTTCATATGGAAAGTTGTCCCCAGGGTTTCGTGCTTTCAATACTATGTTGGATAGTACAAAGATACCGAGAAATATACATGAGGCTCTCAATGATAAAAAATGGAGGGATTCTGTCTTTGAAGAAATGAATGCTTTAGAAAGAAATGGAACTTGGGAGATAGTGACCCTACCCAAAGGAAAAAAGGCAGTAGGATGCAAATGGGTGTTTACAATAAAATTCAATGCAGATAATAGCATCAACAGATACAAGGCAAGATTGGTTGCAAAGGGTTTCACTCAGACTCATGGGATAGATTATCATGAGACTTTTGCTCCGGTTGCTAAAGTCAATACCATCCGAGTTCTCTTATCTCTTGCTGCCAATCTAGATTGGCCTCTGCAACAGTTAGATGTGAAGAATGCATTCCTAAATGGTGACTTACATGAAGAAGTCTATATGGATCCTCCACCTGGTTTTGAAAAGGGAAATGGATCAGTGTGTAAACTAAAAAAGTCTCTATATGGATTGAAACAGTCTCCCAGAGAATGGTTCGACAAATTCACACAAGCAGTCAAAAGAAGAGGCTTCATTCAAGCACAGACTGATCATACTCTCTTCCACAAACACTCTAAGGATGGTAAAATTGCTATTCTTATTGTATATGTAGATGATATAATTCTTACAGGTGATGATATTGAGGAATTGAACACCTTGAAGAAATTTCTAGCAGCTCAATTTGAACTCAAAGACCTTGGCACTCTCAACTATTTCCTTGGTATGGAAGTTGCTAGGAGCAAAACAGGTATCACTCTAACACAAAAGAAATATGTTCTAGATCTTTTGTTGGAAACAGGAATGTTAGGGTGTAAACCTGCTGAGACACCTGTGGAACCTAATACCAAGTTAGGTATTGAAGATGGAAATGAGGTGGATAAAGAACAATATCAGCGATTGGTTGGTAAACTAATCTACTTATCTCATACGCGTCCTGACATTGCCTTTGCGGTGAGTATGATTAGTCAATTCATGCACTCACCCAAGGAGAAGCATCTTAGTGCAGTCTATAGGGTGCTTAGATACCTCAAGAATACTCCAGGAAGATGATTATTCTTTAAAAAGGGGTATAAAAGGACAATTGAAATCTACACTGATGCAGATTGGGCAGGCTCATCAGTAGACAGAAGATCTACCTCAGGCTATTGCACCTATGTGTGGGGAAATCTTGTTACTTGGAGAAGCAAAAAGCAAACAGTGGTTGCAAGAAGTAGTGCTGAAGCAGAATTTCGAGCTTTAGCTCATGGAGTTTGTGAAGGAATCTGGTTGAGAAGACTTCTTCAAGAGTTGAAGATTTCATATTCCCTACCAATAAAACTATATTGTGACAACAAGGCAGCTGTTAGCATTGCTCAAAATCCTGTGCATCATGATCGAACAAAGCACGTGGAAGTTGATCGTCACTTCATCAAAGAAAAATTAGATGATGGAAGTGTGCATTTGATATATGTTCCAACCAAAGAGCAAACGGCAGATGTCCTTACCAAGGGCCTACACCGTCCAGCATTCGAAGACTTGATTGGCAAGTTGGGAATGATCAATATTTACCTCCCAACTTGAGGGGGAGTGTAGAAAATTAGAATTCAAACATGTTTCCGTTTTTATTTCCTATTAATTAGGATTGATTATGATTGATTAGGATTGATTATGATTGATTAGGATTAATTGTGATTGATTAGAATTGATTGTGATTAGGATTGTGATAGGATTGATTAGTCATCGCTTAGTCATTCTTAGCGATTCTTTCTTGTATAAATACTTACTCATGTAATTTATTCAATATCAATATACAAAAACTTCTTTTCAATAAATGGGAAACAAGGCAAGGAAGGTAACAATTTGGGAATTAATAAAAAAATCATACTGATGATCAACTCGGCATGTTAATGTTGAAGCAATAATGGATCGCAGGTCTTCATCAGTCATGTTCTTCCTTGAATACCCAAAAATGGCTACATTCTGCAGACATCGCAATGCAAATTTAATATATTACAAATTGAAAAAAGTAAAGATTCACTAGGAATTAGCACTCTTAATATGTTCGAATTTCTTTATCATAGTAAAAAAAAATACTTGGACTAAAATATCATGCCAGAATCCAATATATTGTGTATTCACAGCTATGGAATTTGAGGGTGGAAAAAGAACAAACCTACAATTAGTTTAAGTAAAATGCTCGTTAGGTGGATGATTCAGTCCAATGCAATTTGTTACGGGCCCATAATATTTCTAAGAGGACCAAAATGGTCCCCCATAACGTGATAGCCGATAACAAACAATAGCTAAGAGATAAGGAAATAATCTTGCCTAGATACCAATCTTACCATATCACCGGTGGATCAAGTATTGGGCTCCCAATATTTCTAAGAGGTCCAAAATTTCACTCTTATCGGGTAACCATCTATAAATAAGAGGTTAAACCAACTAGATACGCATTTTATGCTCTCTCTCTTAGCTGACACTATACACACATCCTCACTCTCTGACTACGCCGTTTATCATAATGCACAGTGACCCTGCAACCCTCTAAGATTACTCCTCGTAAATATCTGAGAGTATATTGATCCCACATAGACTCACCAATCTCTGATTGGACATCCTCGATTCCCTTGGATCGAACACAATTTTAGGACATTTGTATATTAAGTGAGACTTTTGAAATGCATGTACGAGGAGTCTTAAGTGGAAAAACAAAAATATCCAACAAAAAGCTATTGTACCTCAGGAAGAAATCCACTGTAGTACAGGGCGAATAAAGCTGGGAAAACCTTACTCCTTGCCAGCTCACCAGTGGCTCCTATGACAGCAATGCAAAGTGAGGGTGCTCTACCATCATCCATGGGAGAGCTGGTGGAACTTGTTTGCAGTAATGATGGAGACACCATGGAAGTGACCTTATCTGTGGGAAAATCACGACAGAAAGAGAGTAAAATTCAGAAACATTGCAAGTCTTAAGACAAATTACATGGAAGCCTAAACAATAAGAGAAGCTTAGATTGGTAAATTAATAGTTAACTGACCATCAGGAACATGAAGAGTTGAGGATGAATGAGAGAGTGATCCCTTTTCATTTGATAAATCTTTTGCCATACTATTTTTGAAGTGATTTCTACTCTTACACTGCTTTGTTTGTTGGAAGTTAAGCCTCTCAAGTATCCACAGTTTGAAACCACGAAACCTTCGACAGAAGCTGGTACCTCCAACATTCAGTACAAGACCACCACCACCTGTAACTGAATGAAATCTGTTCCATGCACCCTGCAACAAATAATAATGCTCTGGGAATTTCACTGTCCAATTCAAATAGCAGTGTATTTGGGGCAACGAATTTCGAAGAAAAAACAAAACAAAACAAAACAGAAGCATACAGTGATTGGGTGACCAAGATGGGTCGGTCTTGGGAATGAGAATGAAGATTCCGAGAATGTTAGAGAGGTTGAAGAGAAAGACACTGACATTCCTACGACTTGGTGTTTGTGATCTCTCTAAAAACTCTAAACCGTGTTTTTCTGACATTAAAGTTATTAAACAAACATGTCCGAGTAATGAAATGGAGCACGGTTGCAATCGGAGTTCATGGTTCCGGATGCAGCGTAGAAAATCTCCTTAAGAAAAAGTGGGTTGATTGGGTCAGCCCAGTAAGTTTTGGGTCCTTGGCCCAAATTTTATACTCATAACTCGATATCTTTCGCTGGCTCGGTAGATTAGGCTTAATTCATTCGTACATGTACGAAGATGACGTAGGTGGAAGCAGCTTGTCATACAATACCATTATCGATCCATTAATTAATAAATTAATGGGTTGGAGCCACCTACCAAAACTTAACGGCACAGTTACGAGTAATTTATGCGTAATTTTTTAGCAGAACATTCTTTAAATTTTACGATTTAATCTCAGTCAAATAAATTTTGTACCTCATTATATGTTTTAAAAGGCAGATTATGTTTACAATTTTTTTTTTGTTTATAGCTCGTACAATTTTAATTATATATTTCAGAAAATATATTTTTAAATATTTATATCTCTGAAATACATAATTAAAGTTATATTTATAAGAGTTGTAAAAAAGAACTTAGAAACATTACCCTTCCCATTTTTCAAATGCTTTTCTTTTTGCGTTCAAATAAAATAGTCACATATATTATCATATGTTAAATCGTTAATTATAATTTTTGTCTTTTTTTTATAGTCTTTTTTTTTTCTTCGCCAGAATGATGATTCCAACATGACCTTTTCTTGAAAGTTATCATTACTTGTTACCAATTCATTCTTACGACCGTTTATCATTTTTTTAAAAGAATTGTGTATAGTCTTTACAAAATCTGTTAAGAAAATTATACTTGCACAATAATTTTTTTTTATATAAGAATTTTATGTCAATCATTAGATAATACTTGGGGTTTTCCAAAAAAAAAAAAAAAAAAAAAAGATAATACTTGGGGTTTAATTGTAAATCTATTTTAAGTAGTCTTTCAAAAATTTATCTTAGTATTTATTAAAAGTTTATAAAAATAAAGCCTGAGAAAATACTATTATTTAACGTGAATAAAATTATTTAAAAATATATGTATTAATGTATAAGGTACAAAAAGATTTATCATACACTCGATTTCGCACTTTTGATTTTGATTTTTAAATACTGAACATTCTACTGTTGTTCAACACCAAAATGAGGGGAAGCAAAAATAAAAATAAAAAGTAGAATTCGCTATCGAATTAGAGCATAATTAAAAGTGGCTTAAAAAAAAGTATAATATCTATTACATTGTGCTGAATTGTGTGATGATGAAACCTCTTTCCAAATGTTTATGCAGTAATTAATTATTATTATTATTATTTTATAAAAAATCAATTTAACCTACAAATTTAAATTGTTTGGCAAAATTATCTTTTATGGTTTTTATACTTCTCTAAGATGGGTGAAATTATTTTTAATGATTTTTATAATTTTCTAATATATCTCCTTACACCAAAGTTTATGGAACTTGAAGATGAATAATAGAACATCTACCTGTGTTAAAAAATTTTATAATTTAATTAATGAGAAAAAAGTATATAATATTACTTTAGATAATTTTATCTAATGTTCATCGAAACGACGTCGTTTTGTGGTTGAAAAATTAAAAAATTAGAACGATAAAGACTTTATAACTCTGAAATAAATTAAAATTACAAAAACACCATGATTTCCATCCCAAAACAACGTCGTTTCGATGAACATTAGATAAAGTTATCTAAAGTAACTTTAGAAAAAACAAACCCTTAATTAATTATTAATAAAATGAAGACGATAAAAATCAAACTTGTGACACTAAAATACGAATATCATATAAAAAATTAATTCAATTCAAAAAATTAACGGAGGCTACTTCAATTATTTTTATCCTTCTCTAACAGCTTTCTTCACTCGTCCGGTTTCTTCTTATTTTTCTTCATTTTTTGATGCTACCATTCATTGCTGGAATAACATTCCACCTACAAAGCAAGTTATTCACATTCTTGTGCCACAAAGAAAATGTTAACCACATTCTTGAGAAGTCAGCACAAAACAAAACTGTTAAAATAAAAAAATTTACATTTCAAGATTTAGAATAATTATTATGCTATTCAAAATTATTTAATAATTTAAAAACATATTATCATACAATAATCTAAAAAAGTTTTACAATATTGATGCTACCTCAGTTAAAAAATAAAATAAAATAAAAAAGTGCAGTACTTGATATATAACCTTTGTGGTTTGAAGATGACACTGACGCCTTCACCCACCTGAACGGGTTTTATTTGGTTCTCTCTTTCTTCCAAATCTAATCGGAATCTTCGCCAGTTGATTAACTGCTCAATGTGTCATCTCTAAGATTGAAGATTACTGTGAGAGCCTCTTTCTCCAGTCAAAGTTTCATTTTTTCCCCCTTAATTGTGTTGATATCTCTAATTTGAGTCTTTGATCATTTGTGTGTGTAATCATCATCTTTATCTTAATTCTATTTTAACGGGTTCTTGGGTTTAAGGTGCTTTTTGGGTTATACTATAATTCAGCAATAATCGAAGTGCTGTGCTTCCTCTGTGACTGTTATTTCTCTGGAAAAAGTGAAAAACTTTGGTTTGATAAGCGATTATCCTTCTTTTCTTCACTCTTGAAACTGTTTTCTGTGTTATTGTTTGTTACTGAAATTGTAGATTTGTGGATTGTGAGATTATGTCAAGACCCATTTCTTCTGATCCCAGCTTCCCTCCTGCCATTTTCTCGGCAAAATGGTTTTTTTTTTTTTTTTTCCTTTCACCACCTCAAGCTTTGAAAATTTCCAAAGTAGACTTCTTTTCTGGTGCTTTATGCAATTCATCAATGATAGTAATAATGGTATCTAAATTCTCTTTTGAATCAAATTTTGATAGATGTTTTTTCCTAAATGATTGAGGGTTTATAAATTTTTCAAAAGAAATGATTAAAGACTGTGATATAATTTCTTTGTATATGATCCCTTGTGTTGGAAAATATTTCAATTTTTTTCTGTCCCCTTTACTCAAAATTGCTCGTAATTTGATGCAGGTATTTGGAAAGTAGTTTTGAGGGTGAAGTTCTAATTATTACCGGCTTTACTATCATTGGCAAATGGGGTCTGAAGGTCCTTCAACACCAATAACTACAGTTCATGTTACTGGATTCAAGAAATTCCATGGAGTTTCAGAGAATCCAACAGAAACAACTGTCAATAATTTGACAGAGTACATGAAGAAGAAGGGTTTGCCAAAAGGTTTAATTATTGGGAGCTGTAGCATTCTTGATACTGCTGGTCAAGGAGCACTTGTTCCACTGTACCAGAGATTACAAACTGCCATTAGTTCCAAGGATTCTGAATCTTCAAATTCCAATAAAATTATTTGGGTGAGTTGCCCATATACTTGACATATTACCTTCACATTTTATGCTCGTAACTTTATTAATATTCGTCCTTCAGTGGTGGTTATTTATGTTATCAGATCCAAATTTTGTACCTCGATTAAAATTCCTGGTGAACCTGGATATATTATGTTATTCTAGTTGAATTATCTTATAATTAAAGGAAAAACCCCAATGCACAAGGCTCCTTCGTCCTCAATTATCATACAATTAAATAAAATAAATAAAATATGTTGCATACAAAAATAATATGATATGAACCTATCCCGTCACTCGATTGCAACTGGGAGACATGGTGGTTGTGTTAAAACCAATTAATACGAACTTTGGAAGAACCTCACTCCAAAAGCTAGCTTGTAAGGTAAGAGAGCCCAAAGTCCATATAAATCCACACTAGAATCTTATGTTTCCAATGTGGGACTCCAAGTCTCATACCTTGCAACTAGATCGTAAAATAATATGTTCAAGAAAGGAAATAACATTATCATGTAATATGGTAGATATTTAAGACTGTTCAGTCACACACATTCCTTTTGCCTGTCTGTCTGTACTAATTACAGTAACCGCTGAGGAACCTAAGACTGCTCAACTAACATAAGCAACGTTGACCATAGCATGGATAGAGTCTTTGTGACTATTATAGAATTACTTTATCCAATTCTGCTCATTAAAAGCTATTATGTGGTGAATAGTAATTCTCAGATCATGATGCCTTAAGAACTTATTTATGCAATTGTTAGTGTCTTAATATTTAAAGTGACAGGATCCATGTCCAGATGTGAAGATCATATTGTTAATGAACTGATTAAAGCTCACTGGACTCCAAACTGAAGTTTCTTTAAAAAGTTTAGCACAGAGCTAGAATGAAACTCATATTGGAATTTTTAATACTTCTGCACATTAAATCAATTAAAAGGACAGCAGTGAAAGGTTGAGGATCTGAAGATCATATCGTAGGCATAAGCAGCCTTATAAAGAACAGTGAGAGTGTAACCAGTTGACTGAGATTTTGCCTTGGTTGGATTCAGCTATTTTAAATCATTTTTTGTTTGATTATATTTTCATGTCTCCATCCCTGCAAATTATGTCTTTGCTATTTCTGATTTGTGTTTATTCAGCTGCATTTTGGGGTTAACAGTGGTGCAACAAGGTTTGCTATAGAGAAACAAGCTGCCAATGAGGCAAATTTCCGTTGCCCTGATGAAATGGGATGGAAGCCTCAGGTGAGATTGGAGTAGTGGATTCATTTTAAACTTGCTTGCATCAACAAACCTTTAGAACTGATATCCAAGGAGCATATTCCCTGAAAATTTCCGTCGTTTGTATGTTGCAGAAAGTCCCCATTGTTCCTTCAGATGGTGGAATTTCACGAACACGTGAGGTAAAATGGATCGCTTATGTTTTTCACTCACACTTAATTCCTAAACTAATGGGCTTGGTGTTTAGTCCTAATATGGTAAAATAATGTTTATTCTTTTAACATAGAAGAGCATTTTTATTTTTATTTTGGTATCATTTCAAGTACTTTAAGATGCTTGTCTTTGTTCTGATGGCCTTCAAGCTGCAACTTACTGCATACACGAAGCCAATTCTCTTATGCTATTGTAAGTGTCATTTAGAAGGCTTTTCAATTCTTCATGGGGCCAAAGCAAATTGAATTTTTGAGCTCCTCATTTTGTCAAAACTCGAAAGGGAGGATGTATAGAGGAATCTTGTTTTATGGGCTGTGCCTCTTGATGGAGGCATATACAAGTAGAAAGTTATTTGTATGCCAATACAAATAAGAAGAAAATCACTTCATAAAACATGGTTCAGGTTACTGCATGAGAATTCTTCCCAATTTTCAACTGTCATGATCTTGTGTCCTAACTTTGTTGTGCAGACTTCATTTCCAGTTGTGGAGATCACCCAAGCCTTGGCAAAGAAGGGATATGATGTTATGATGTCAGATGATGCAGGCAGGTTTGTGTGCAATTACGTGTACTATCATTCCCTTCGTTTTGCTGAGCAGAATGGGATCAAATCCCTTTTCGTGCACGTGCCACTCTTCATGACAATAAATGAAGAGACTCAAATGCAATTTGCTGCGTCCTTGTTAGAGGTACTTGCCTCTATATGTTAGTATCATCCACTCAGACCCTCAAAATTGGGAGCTCTATTAATTGCTCTGGTGTTGGCATGCTTATGAAAGTGAATGAATGTACCTTGAATGAAATATTTATAATAAAAATGTTGTATTTAAATGGAAACGGTTTGAAGAAAATGGCATTTGCAGCAGTGGCACTTGCTTGCATTGGTAAATGTTTCTCGTTAAAGGTTCCAGCACATTGTGAAGACAATTTGACATCTTCAGTGTGTACCTTGTGAATAAATGTTCATTTTCTTTATTACTTCTTTTTTTTTCATTATAACATTCATCTTAATGAATTGTATCCCGATATGCATGTCCGAGTAAAACTGAAATAACATTGCACGTGTTCTTTCTGTTGGATGATCAATACATTGCTAAAGTTATTCATAGGCATAATAAAACAATTTATAGTTGAGATTTATCATTCAAATCACTGTCTATCCCCCCATTTGGAAGTTCTTTGGCAAGATGTCTACAACAATGTGTTGAGCTTCTGCAAACGAATTAAGGAAGAAATCTTTATTTAACCAATCCCAACAAAAAAGGGGAACGGAAGAAATCATTTATTTTTTCGAATCATGTATTGTGTTTGTGTAAGACTTCAATCATTATATCTCTTAATGTGCAAGAAACATCAAATTGCAAGATAGGTTCTTGAACGCTAAAAACGTTGTGGCAGTGGCGGAAATATTAGGGGTGTGGGTGATCGTTCCTGCTAAACTTAGCCAATTTTAAATGAAATGTAGAAATCATTGACCTTATTGTGCGTGAAGTCTCGATAATATATAGAATTGGTAAATAATATATAGAATTTCAGGTTAATATATGCTTCTACTTGAAGTGGCGGAGGCTTGAACTGAAGTAGTGTAGCAGTCAACTATATTTTCAGGTTTAGAATCTTCATTATAGGATGGGCAGTTTAATAACAGAAGAAAAAACACCTTACTTCAAATTTACAATTTCCATTGAACGAATCAGCCGATTACCAATCAGGCTCTTCAGTTCCGACATGAGTTATTGAAATTCAGGTTTTGTGAAGTGCTAAATGATGAGGTCTTATTTGTTGCATAAGAGATACCTAAAATTTTAAAACAAATAAAATACATTGTTAAATAAAACAAAAAAACATTTCAAGAGTTTAAAAAAATTAAATTAGAGAACAGGTGATCATTCTAAATGATTCTTCTATAACAATACAAATTAAAGTCTTTCACAGAACAAAAAGAAATGTCCTCACATATAGAAAGCAGACGCTTCTGGAATAGTTGTCACTCATATTTTTGGGCTACTGCCAGGATAAATTAACTATGCTCTTGTACAATACTTCCACGTCGTTGAAGTAGTACAATTCAAACTGAGTACCAAAAATAAATATCGAAGGTCATATAAAGCACAAAATGATAGGTTTAGACAAACTTGTAAACAGCAACCTACTCCAGACGAGAGCAGCTTGATTTTGTCCATGCTATTTCGCTAAGGATCAGCGACACATACAAAATTGACATCACAACTACCATCCATTATGCAGTGCATAACTAAATTAGCCAACCACCCATCATTAAATCAACAAATACCAATACCGATTTAACACGACACTTGTCTTCTATTTGATGTTACAACCTGCAGTGATACACAAAACTCACGGTTTTCCTCTGAATACCCATCGAGGGTTGGGTAATATTGAGTACCAGATATCTCTAAATCTGTTTTTACAAGGCCCCGAAATACAACAAGGATACATGAAGGAGCAAATTTCATTTCATAAATAAAGGAAACATAGCATTCATATGGAAACGACACTTGCAGTTTTGTTACATTTCACAACATCACAAGCCAAGAAACGGGCATTGCTTCCTCGCATGCTCTGGAATCAATTTCACCAAAATCTCAACTGGCACTCCCTTCAGTTCTGGTACACAGGCAACAATAACATCCAGAAGGTCAGCCAGAACTATAAACGAATGATGGCAATGACAGACCAGAGTTACATAAACACAATAGCCTATTCCAAAATTATCATACCATGAGATTTGAAATTGAATAATGGTGGAAGGAAACGACCATTTGGCAAGCGAGTATTCGGATCACGAAGTTCATCAAAGAATGGATGGATCAAGGCATCTAACTGCACCAGATAAAGTAAAAACACATTATATAAAACTTCGAAGGATGAGAAACAAACATTGGAACAATTAATCATTACATGATGAAGAGCAATACAGCACTTTTTTACAAATTAGCTGGATAGAAATTAGAAAGGCCAGCTAAGAAGCTGTATACTCACAGCTGTGCACCGCAGGTTAGGGGAGTATTGTAGAAGTCTTGATACCAAATCAACAGCTTCTGGAGGCATGCGCTTTTGAAAGATCTAGTAGGAGCAAATTAACAAATTTATATCAGTTTGTTGTGCTCAACAAGAGGAGTTACTAGATATATTAGTATGGTGAGCTAAAGTATAAAACATCAAATGCTATTCAATTTATTTGTTATACCTTGTGCCATGGATGTGCTTTAATCTGGGGGAATTTAAATTCTGTATAGTTAGGGTTCATGCACTTAATCTCTTCCCTTGTTGGAGTGCCCAGAACCTATCAAAGCAACAACAAGTAGATAATTTACATGTTAAAGATATTGACACTGCAAATAAGCAAGGCTACCCATCAAATAGATCCGTAGATCAGTGATTCAAGCAGCGAGTCATCAAGTAAACTAAATTCATTCTTAAAAGGTTAAAGCAAAAGACATAATCAACAATTCATCATCCATTGCATTATGTTCTTACAACTAATAATCGAGTTAATCCAAGCATCCAACTATACCAATTTGAAAGATGGATTCAATAGAAATAAGGAAAATATAGCAGCAGAAACCAATAAATTAATCAGAATGATGACCTTGATGATCTCAACAAGCTGATCAACTCCACTCTCACCAGGGAACAAAGGCTGAAAAAGGAAAACGAACAAATTTCATTAATACATATACTAAATCACAGAATCAAAAGAGCCCTAATCAAAAGCCACCAACCTGTCCAAGCAGAAGCTCAGCCAATACACAACCCACAGACCAAATGTCAATAGCTGTAGTATATTCAGTTGCTCCAAATATAAGCTCAGGTGCTCTATAATATCTAGAACATATGTACGAAATATTTGGTTCGCCTTTTATCTGTCAAAAGTCAGACCAAACAAGGTAAAGATAAACTCCAAACAAAGTAAATATTTGGTTGAACAATGGACAGAAGCACACACACACACACACACACACACACAAAAAAAAACATACCAAGACTTTTGCACTTCCAAAGTCACATAATTTAACCTGGTGGGTATGTGGATTAACCTGCATAGAAAAACTTTCAGTCAGTACTTTCTAACATTCCTGAATCTCCAGAGTTTGAATTAGAAGTTTCCAATCTTATAACGACTCCCAACACAATTTACACAACCATAAATATGAGACACGAAAAGTTGAGAACTTTAATAGAAAGTGGGGGAAAATATGATCAATGAGAGGATAAGTAAAATAAAATACATACTAATAGATTTTGAGGCTTGATATCCCGATGGCAGACTCCAATACAACGGTGAATATAAGATAGTGCCCTAAATATCTGCAATATATCAAGGAAAATGTTATAACCTCAGCAAGATGAGAACTGAAGACACGAAGGACAACAGTGCATATATCTCTGCATTTAACTAAGCCAGCTTTACTCTCATAATAGTGCAATAACAAACACACACCTAACTAAAAATATAATTAAATGAGGCAACTGGAATTGTTGTATGTAACTAGTAATCAAACTTTAAGCAACTGGAATTCAAGGATCAATCAAGGGTATTGATGTAGAACAATAAGCCTAGACTATTACTACTACCCTAAAGCAGAGTACTCTGACCAGAACAATAAACCTAGAGTAAACCACTGACTAGGTTTCAGATGCTCTATGAAGAAAAGAAAATCTCAATATTATAATTATGCCAAAAGGTCTTATCGTTCTACATCAGGTACATAGCAGCAACACTTAGCAATGTGAATTACATGAGAATTCACACCATTTGGACCACAACAGCTTGGTTTAAGATCTCTCGGACAGGTTAAGTGCACAATCCAAAACAAATAATTCAGAGTGCTAGGAGATAATCCAAAACATTAACAAAGCCATTTTTCAAAATACAAATGACAAAACCAGACTGTCACAATTAAGCATACCTGGTATGTATAGAGTTTCACATATATAAGTGGCATCCGTTGGTTCAACTTGTTGTAATGTTTGATCACACGGTGAACTGTTTCAGGAACATACTCAAGTACCAAATTAAGGTATAGTTCATCCTTTTCAGTGGTTGAAAAGAAACAATGCTTCAGAGAGACAATGTTTGGGTGGTCAAGAAGACGCATTGTTTGCAGCTCCCTATTCTTATACCTCTTGTCCTGAAGAACCTTTTTGATTGCCACAGTTTCACCAGTCTCCAAGCATTTAGCCTACAATTATACAAAAAGAGCAACATCAAAGGCATAATATGTCACTATGTTTGAAAGGCTACTAAACAAACACATCACCAGTAAATTGGATAAAAATATTTACCTGGAAGACAACCCCAAATGATCCATTCCCAACAACCCGCTCTGCCATATAGCTTATAGTCTGAAATATTATAAAAGATGTACATTTATTCTAGATCAATAAACACGTTAAAAAATGAGAAAATGAATTACAAAATATGGTTAAAGAAAATATGCAGATGAAGATACATTGCTATGATATGATATTTGCCATAACCTATCATATCCCATAGAGCTCCATCAATCAGAAAGTAATTGGTGAGGGTAATTACCAATAACAAGGCACAACACAAACATGTTGAAGACAGCAAATAGCTGTGCTATTCACTGTATAAAGATTCAAGTTAGCAGAGCAGCACAGCTGGCATAATACCCAAATCTTGAGAGAGAGAGAAAAAAAAATTGACTTCGAGGACAATATAAAAGACATGGAAAAAAAATTAAGATATTTACATACAAATAATAATACCAAACCAAAGCATTAATTGTTTATCAACTTCCAATTACCAGACAGCACAGTAGTCAAATTATTTCAAACTTTTTACCAGAAAAAATAAAATAAAATTCAAACTACACTCCAATTTCCACAGCACAGTTATTTTAGTGGAAAAAGAAGGGAGAAGGTATACCTGCTTCGGCTGACCGTTTCTACCCCCAATGGTAGTTACAATAATATGTCCTGTCTCGGTACCATTACCATCAACAACAGTAGCTTCTACTTCCTATAAGATGTAAGCAACTAGGTCTCAATTTTTATTTTTATTTAAAAAAAAAAGCAATTAACAAAAAAAAAAAAAAAGATGCCATGTTAAGAATTAATGGAATGTGTAACATACTTTATCATCCGTAATTTTCATATCATTCATCTCCTCTGGCAATCTTTCAACACCACTGAATTCTCTCAAGCCATATGTTGGTGCCACACCAACAGACGCCATCTTCCACCAAACTTCACTGTCTTCCTTGCTATCTTAACAGTCACTCACCTCCTGGAATTAATAGCACCAAAATCAGGATTTTTATTTATTTATTTATTTTGTGTATCGTCACAGGGAACTATACATGGAAACTGAAGCTTAAAACATGAAAGTTGCATCTTCCACACACAGAAAACAATAAATACATATTTTTTTTATTTAGTTTTTTTTTTTTTGCAGAAAATAGTGAAGGAACATACACCAAAGATCCATCCGTCAAACATCACAAATCCAACGGAAAACTCATCTTTGCATCAGTAATCTCACTGTTAAAAAAAAACACACACACACACACACGGAAATTGTTTTTTTTTTTTTTAAAAAAAAAATCCCCAAACAAACGGACCAGAAGATCACCGTAAATAAACAGCAGAATTGAACGCGAAATAAAAGCACTGAGTGAGGAAAAAGAAAAAAAACAGTTATAACCGAGTGAGGCTAGAAAACTAAAATTCAGAAAGGAAAAACAAAAAATGAAAACAGAAGAATAAGAGAAAGAAAATCTACCTTTGGTATCTATCATAAATGAAATGAAATGAAAAAGAAGGAAGTATTAAAGAGTGTGAGAATGAGAAGGTTAGAGTTAGATCCAACCAAGTGTGAGGGGTTCTTCTCTATGGAATTGTGTTTCTGCTTTTTTGTGTGGTGTGGTGTGGTGTGTGTACTATAATGCGCTGGTGACAGTCAAAGAAGAACACTGTTTAATTTATGGGGTGATTTTAAATTACATGCTATATGTCATTTAAAGATAAAGATAAACACACAAAATAAAAATTATGGAAGAAAAAAAGTGGGTAATTTTTTTTTAATTTAAAATTTAAATAAAAAATTTATTCTGTATCTATCTCTCTTAAAATGAGACAAATTTATGTCATTTAAAATGACAAACACTCTTTCCTTAATTTATTCCTTTTATTTATTTATTTATTTTTAAAGAATAAGATATCCACATTTACAGGTAAAAATATTTAGAAAAACAAAATCCCTATAACAAGCAAAGCATTGACCCATTTTCAGTTCTTCAATCTGACTTTATTCATTTATTTTATTCTTATTTTTCTCATGCTAGCAGAGTTGTCAAAATTTGCGAAGTTGAATTACAGCCGGAATAATCTGTTCAATAATCTAGTAAAGTGTGTGAATTAAGTTAATAAATTCAACAAGAAATAATTTTTGTTTTGTTGAATTTGATTTATTCGGATGCAAGTCAGATTACATTAACCCGGGATAACGTGTAAACTTACTTATTTTATAATTATTGCTATTTTGAAATCAATATTTTTACATTGATTATATATATATAAAAAGTATACCAATAAATTAATCTGAATAATTTGTAATCCACACAGAACAGGATAACAATTAAATAATGTGAATTATAATTTTTGCTCGTTACGGATCAACTCAGATTTAAGTCAACCAAGAACAGAGGAGCTCAAATGAGCCACGCTAATCATATTTTATACCCCTAATCCTAAATTGCAATTATTTATCTAGAAAATAAAATAAAATAAAAACTGACAGCCTTATGTAAACGTATTTTTTATTCAGTTTAATAAATATATTATTAATTTACTTTTAATTTTTTTTAATTATCACGTACGAAAGCTACAAAATAAAAAAAATCTTTACCAAAAAAGAATTATATGTTTATAAAAACAGCATCACAGGCAAATTTAGAGTGTATTTAAATTAATTTGTTTTATTTATCAAAAAAAAATTAATTTGTTTTAATAAAAAAAATTGAAACAGTTTTTTGAAACAAGCCAAAACAAGCATTTATAAAAACAAGGGCAAATGGGCTTCGGCCCCCTTGTGTTGTGTACTGAAAAAAAAAAGAGAAAAAAAAAGGCAAATTGATAAAACTAATTCTTGAAAAATATTTGCTTTTAATTCTAAATATAATCGAATTATTATAAAACATGATTAATTATTAATTCTCAATAAATTATAACCGCTAGATTGACGAAAATTAATAGTTAAGATTTGGTGTTAAATTTTTAATTTGACACCGATATCAAAATGTATGTACGAGAAAATCATTTTTTTACATTTGATGCAGAAACCTTTGTACAGTTGCTCTCACTGTTTTTTTTAGTGGATCCAAGTTTTTTATTTCAGTGGCAAACAATTTGTTTTCTGCCACTGCTACATAAATATATAACCCTATATACATATTGGGTTTATCGTTTCTCAAGTCAGTTGCGATAATTTTATTTCCAGATATCCCAAAACAATGTCATTTGAAAAAAAGTACATTTTATAATTATAAATGAACCAAGTCAAGCTCAAGCCAAACCTTTAATTTTTCATACACAAGTCAAGTCAAACCTAGAATTTAGTTTGTATCAGGCTAATGGACCATGCCAAGCTCAAGTCAAACCTAAAATTTAGTTTGTATCATGCTAATGAACCATGCCAAGCTCAAAATATTTTTCATAAACTTAACTCGCTAAAATTTGACTCAGCTCAACTCATTTACACCCGTAGTAATGACCATTTATTGGATAGTTAGTAGTTACATTCAAATAAAGATAATTAATATTGTTGTTAGTTAAAGGTTAACATGTCTTGAACTTTTTTTTTTTCAAAACCTGCTTTTGATCATTTCTCATAAAAAAAAAATGTTTGAATATCTACTTTTAAAAAAAACAAGCCATTAAAAAGGTCAAAAATCTACATTTTTTTTATAAGCTAAATATTTTAACTTCTAAAAAAAATAGAAGTTAAAAGTCAAATATTTTTTAAAAAAATCCAAATATTTTTCTAAAAATCTACATAGCTTTAGTTTTTATAAAAATAAAAAAAAACACTTCTAAAATAAGTAAGACATAAAAAGCAATTTTTTGGCTATTAAAAACAATGATTATTTCAAAAATATTAATATATTTTAAACTATTTGTTACTTTAAAAACTAAAAAGATATTATTTTTTAATTTTGTTTTTTCTTTTGATATATTCATTAAATAAAATTAAAATAAAACATTAAAAGAATAAAAGAAAGCTAATACCATTTGTGCAAAAGTAAGGCGGGGTGGGGATTTTAAAAAACTGAATCGAAGACCCAAACAATAGTTTGCAGCTACGACTACATCGCAATTAGGAAGAAAATAGTTTCAAACATTAAATATCAGAATAAATAATAATTGCCACAAAACAAAATTCGAGATTCCGTAGACTGCTTTGACATGCCATTTCTCTGTCTACTTTCTTTTTCTACAATGAATGAATCAACCATAAGATGACAAGAAGGAAATATAAGACATAAAATGGCAACTTCTCACAAGGAAAAATAATGTATTTCTCTTTTTTCCCTCTATATCAAAGACATGAAAGCACTTTTGAATTCAATCACTATGGTAGAGTTTGCCTAATTGATACATCCCAGGATGAACCAACAGTCTTCCCGAAAGCATCCATCTCACGAGTCAGCGACCATTTGGCCAAGTCAAGAATCCACGCTTCCCCATGCATCCCAACGGCTAGATTCAATATTCCAATGTAGAATAAAATGGTCCTCACTTATGAGACAGATAACAACCCTAACAAAAATCCTGCTTATTTAGCCAGGGAAGCTGCCAAAAGGGAATCAGTATACAAAGTAGATATATGATTATGTTTATATCACTATATATAGAAATTTCAAACAACTACTCAACACAAACCCTGCCTTCCAGTAACTAAAAACAGAAAGAAGTTTCAAGGATGCAATAAAATTGGCTACAGTTTACGGGTCAAACATGCAATAAAATTTTCATAAGGTAAAATCCAGTGTCCATTGATTACCCTTGTAAAACCCGTCAGATTTAGTTAAAACTTCTTAACAAAGATTAAAACCGTACCTATAATATTATGATTGCTGCACTAGTCGGGATATCTGTAGCATCCAATCAGCATACCCACTGTTACCACCTATCTGGTCCTCAACAAGGTTTGCAATAAGAAGGAATCCTTCTCTGGGCTGTTCACCTTGCCTCACAAGGTGGCACAACTGGTAATATGCACGATCTGTATTTCTCAATTTCTCAAGTACCCTTATAAGCCTCCTAGACATTTCATTATCATGCTCATTGAGAGTAACCTGTTAAAAGAAACAAAACATACCCACAGCACCAGATGGATTTCAAATTTTGTTCAACTAGACAAATAAAGGAGGAATACATCACAAACATATCTATACTACATTTAGATATTAAGAATTGACCATACAAGAAGTTATTAATGGATTAAGAATAATATCCATCAACAACGATGGAAATAAAAGTCAATCTTATGAATAAGCTTAGTATAGGATGAATTTCACACAAAAACTCACCATTGAATTAAGTGTTTTATCAAGAAAATGATGCTCACAGAATTTCATGTTAATTATAACTATTTTATACTTATTATGAACCTATTTTTGAACAGCAGGAATCTACAATACCTTTGATAATTCTGCCGCAAAGTCTGCCCCAAGTAAATTCTTGGCTATATCAGGTGAAATCACCGTACCAAACCATATAATGAGCCGGAAGCCATCATCATATATATAAAGGCCTCTAGAGTCTAAGCTCTCCCTGGTCAAAGGTAACCTTCTCTGAATACTTTTCAAGTCATCAGCCTGTACAGATGTTTGGAACACAAGCGGAAATAAGTTAAGGATCTGACAATTTAACCATGCTATCCGTAGCTTTTCAAGGCAGTAATGTATACCTTCAGAAGATATTCATCAAGTCGAATCAAGCTAGGATAGAGGAGTTTCAACAGTCTTTTTATTGGTAGAGTCATTATTGTGTGTCCTGCTGCACATCGTTCATCCAGTGGGACATCACCATACCCTCCACGGAGTGCCGCTGATCTACAAAGAGTTAATCCATACAAAGGTAGGAACTTTAAAGACTCAGGATATATCATTCTGTTCGCCAAGCGATGTTGCACAGCATAAAGATTTCGATATTCCCTAAGGGCCTTTACAATTCTTAGTTGCAAAGCACTCCGTGCATCTTCCAGTTTTTGGGACGATGTTTTCTCAATTGCTGCAAATATGAAAGAACTGTTTTAAGAAATAAAAGCATAAAAAGCAACCATGATCCATCACGTATGATGTAACCAGACCAACAGTCCCGTTTTCCTTACCTAGCCTACTAAGCAGAGATACAATTGCACCGGTATCAGCCAGGCGATAGATCTCTCCCAAGTCTGTAACTACTGGAACCGCCATTGTGTGTACTCTGATACGCCTTTCTCCACAAGATGCAGTATATCTATTTTGTTGTTAGGGATGCAACCCGTTTTAAAACAACTACACATTCTAAATATCCTCACTTAACAAAATTGGCTGAATATCAAGCAGACATCCACATAAATGTCAAACAGTGGAGGGGAAACAGTAAAAACAAAGCATGGTAAAAGCTAAGTGACGTACAAAAAATGAAAAAGATAAAAATAAGGATAATTATGTTTTTTCTTTTTTGTGAGTTCAAGGAAAGAAACAAAAGTAAAAACTCTTTTAAAAATATATATGACTTTCAAAGGAAAGCATCTCAAATAGAGATAGTCAACACTTGGGGGGAATAACTTAAAAATATTCCAACGAATAAAAAGTAAATCTCTTAATGCTAAATATAAGGGGAAGACAAAAGTTCAATGATTAACAAAGATGGCTATATAGTAGGAATGGCATTCTGTTTTCTTTTTTAAACTGTAGCATATTGTAAAACATATGATTAAAAATTATCATCAACAATAAAACGTATGTACTCATTAGAACTCATCTTGAGAATTATTGAAGAAAGGATACAGCAATGCAACTTGGAAATACATTGTCTGAGTTGTCAATAATGTCTCTTCAAGTGATAACTGCATGGCGAAGGCTTTATCACAATCTACAGCTGGAAGTGCTAACAAATCAGTCGACCTTAGCATGAAGTTTCCATGATAAGTTGTGAAGCGAACACCTAGAAACATGGACAATTATCAGCAACTGTATTTGTGTGTGTGATATTATGTACACATTGCATGAAAAAGCAGATAAACAAAGGGAGACAAGGAAGGTAAGGATTTTCAAGACAATAAATGCACAGACCTTTTGCACATCTAATGCGCATTACAGCTTCCCATGCAGTTTCTCTAGTAAGGTCTCTCCTTAACTCATGTCTCAATTTCTCCCCATGAATGGCTGATTGGAAAGCTGGATAGTAACACACTTGACCAGCAGTATACTTCGCCAGAGTTCCTAAACAGAGTAAATTATAAATATATAATTCACTTTGTCACGCATAAAATCATTAGCATGCAATAATATGTGCTAAGAAAGACCACTTGTACCGAGAATCAAATTGAACAGAGTTCCCCGGAGGCGGGGGGGCGGGGGTTGTATTATTTACAGACAATAACTATGCATAAATACATAATCTGCTAATTCCAATTAAGTATTTACGGGCCAGTTTTTGGTAAACACATCCATGAATGACACTATCAGTTAATATTCCACACGCCTTTAATCACAATACTATCAACGGAAAATATGCAGTAATTCAATTAATTTTATTCAATGGTCAAAATGAAGTGATGATCTAATTACTCAACATATAAATCTTAATAGGATACCAAAATTCATCCTGCCAAGAATCAAGTGCATAGTTCAGACTACTTATGAGCAATATAAGGGTACTTGAACATATTATTTTGCATGATCGCAATACTTCAAAAGCATTTTAAAATGAACATGAGATCAAAGCAAATTAAAGCCCATAAAATCATGGCAGCAAGTCATCATAAAGCAATGTTGTGACAAAACAGAATCATCAGTTATATCAATCAAAGTCTTCACATCCAAAGCAAGAGATTTGGCACTTTTTTAAAGTGTATGGCATGGTGAAGTTAGAAGAAATTGTAAAAATTTACCTAAGGAGGCTATGTCAGTGTACTTATCACTGAATGCATACACATTTGCTGAGATCTGGTACTTAGAAAACTCAGCAGCCATTTGCTTATAAAATGGATCTTCGGGCAATCTCAACCCATGTTCTTTATCTGTCCCATAAACACGAGAATCATCTCCACGTAACTTCAAGCGGCCAACACCAAGGGATGGGAGTGTGTTCTGAAAAATTAACAATTTCCCTCCGAGTTGACTCTGCATAGAGAGGCATGAAAAGGCAACCACAAAAAAATGCATAAGAAAATCGTATTTGTTCAATGCAATGGAAAACATGTACTGAAAATTCGACAAGCTCCAGGTGGATGGTGTTCTCTTGAGTTTAATTAACCATAGATCCCACCATTCTGCATGGAGTGCAACTTGTTTCTCAATGGTTTATCTAATTTTTTCAGTAACTTTCTGATAGTTTAGTGTGCCATACAATGCTCTAAGACCCCATAAATTCAGCAAAGAATTAAATCTTAAAAAACACAACCTTTGGGTAGTCTGCACTTGGTTGTTTTAACATCAGTAGAATTTTTTATATACTCTGTATCATATACAAAATGCATAAACTATTTTGCTTCCATCAAAACAACTGAGGGCAGACTTCTCATAATTGACACTAAAAGGCCTTGTACAAATATCACAATTCCATAAATTGGACCTTCCAATTTCAAATATCATGTCTATTCCCCAACCCCCCCCCCCCTCACCCCCCCCCCCCCCCCCAAAAAAAAAAAAAAATAGATTAAGAATTCCCTCCCACAATGCCAAAAAAAGGTTAAATATCTGGGAAACAAAAAAAATGTGAAATAACTGACACTGCTCTTATCCCATTCCCACCACAATTCTTTATAGATTAAAAATTATCCGGGAGCAACAGATCTGCATTATTATTACTTTAAAAAAATTAAAGTACATGCTGATATCTCTCTTCCAGTTAATTGTAAGCCTTGGTGCAACAATAAGATTGCTTTTTGTAACCAGAAGGTCACAGATTCAAGTAACAGTCTGTTTGCAAAAATGTAAGAGCAAGGCTACGTACAGTACACCCTCACCCCTACTCTTGCAAAGTCGGGAAGCCTTATGCACCAAGGTTTGCCCTTGCCAATATCTCTTCTAGTTATTATTGAAGCTTTTCCTTTAAAGAATACTAGGTTTGCATTTATAACACAATATCAACTATCCCCTTGTTCTCTACCTTGAAAACTAATCACTTAGATTTTATGGAACTTTGTATTAATTAATAGCAAATTGGATACAATGTTTTAAGTTCACTACTTAGGGGAAAAGAGTAAAATAAAAAATAAAAAATTATGATAATAATATTCACCACAGAAGGTTCAAAAGGGACTAGCATACCATAACCATAAATGCAGCCTTAAGAGCAGGACCAAAAGCTGATTCCAGATTAACATTGTCATGGAACATGGTAGGCAAACTATCTAGGAAGGTTTCCACCACACTTCTTGATTCAGACAAGTTAACAAGAAGATCATCTGGCAGCGGAACAAATATGTCATCCAGATCTGAGACTACCAACATCTGTGGTTGAGTCAAGGATGACTACAAAAGCAACAGAGAATAATTAGAATAAATTGAGGCCAATTAAGAAGGAAATGGAGCAATATTAAGTGATAATACCAATAGTACTGCAAACCTTCATATTATAAAAATGTATCGTGCTGTCAAAAGTTGCAAACCCTATTTGTGTTCGTGGAAAGCCAGGCAGCTCATCTAAGCATGACTTGATTGTTTGGGCCACAACCTGCATTAAGAACAGTAATATCAACTATCAAGATAAAGTGTACCAAACACCTCCAAAATGGTTGGGACAAATTGGATAATTTGGTAAATGCAAAATGCATTCTATAACCCAAACTTGCCCACCAAAACATTTGCCAAAAGTAAATGTGACTTGTGGACAAATTTCATTTTTGACATTTGACCTTTGAGCATAATAGGAATATTTTCACCTTGCAATATCCAAAACTTGTTCCTGCAAACTTACTTTTGGTAAATATTCCCAACATAGAACTCGTTCTTTTGAAAGTAATTCTTTCATAATTCATTCTACACAAAAGCAATTACCCAAACACGCTCATAAAGCATAATATGCAAAGGCAAACAAGCAACCATTAAATACACATAAGAAATAAGCTCCACCAATTATTGTGAGTAACAGCTATCATTAAATTACTCAAAGGGGGAAGGAATTGAACCATTAAATCATCTAAAAGATATGATGTATAAAGTTCAGTGAAAATGAAAACCGCATTAATAAGCTTTTTGGTGAGCAGACCTTTTTCTTTTCTATATAAACTAATCTAAGACAAAATACATTATAACAAAAAAGTTTTGTTTATGATAGCTGAAACCAAAATTTATCAAAAACATGTATCTGGTAGGGTCCCAACTCTTTAATTCACACAAAAATAAAGCCATATATTGCACAACAGTAAAAAAAAAATTCAAAAAAAGCATACCTGAAAATTCTATTATATGGGTAAGACTCAGAATGCACTACAAGCTATATATTGTGTTAGAAGTAAAGTTCTCACCTCAATCATGCCACTTCTAACTGCAGATATGGAGACATCGATGAGGAAGAAATATACTGGGGGCATAGGAGGCCGCACCATATACTCAGCAGGGGCAACAAATTCTACAGTACCTTTTGTAAGCTCTGGTCGTTGATTCAAATCAACTCTTCTGCCAGTAGCATCTAGTTGTGCATAATATTCACTTGGAACTGTACGTAACACTCGATATATTAACATCATAAGATAGATATTATTCAACCAGTTAAAGTATATACATGATATATTTGACACAAACAAATAACTTTCATCACAGAAGTTCTTAATTCTGCATGCAGGTTACTGTCTGGTTTCACATCATAGCAGAGTTATGCTTCATTTATCATGATAGTGATAAACATACAGCACAACTGACATGAATATACAGAGTCAGAAAAGTCTGAGAGAAAGTTTAGCCCCCGTGACACTTATGCCGTAATCCACCTTTAAGAGGTAAACCAGCCAAGTATGTGCATGCTTTTATAAGTGCCCCTTTGGGCACATCCAATAGAATGCAAATGATACAGAAATTAATGAAATTTCAGAGCCAATAAGAAAATACTGTCTCATTACAAAAATGTGCTGATCTGAAGTACTTGAGACTTGATTCCTACCATTTTATTCTTTTATGATTTCTTAATTAGTAAAACAAATGACAAGGCCATGGAAGTAAGAATTACCATCATTAAGCAAGGTGCAGACATTGCAGCGAAACTTTCTCCCAGCTTCTGTAAATGTCATATAAGGATTCACGTATGTGCGACATCTTCTACAGCGTACAACACTAGCTGGAGCAAAACTAACTATAGGCACCTCTTCCTGAACAAAATAAAATAACAGTGAACAAAGGATCATAACATGACCAGCATGTTGCTGCTCATCAAACCAGGTAAAGAGGTACTGACCCCATCAGGAGCTTCCGCAAGCGGACATACAACTGCTCCAAGAGGCAGATGCCATCTAGAAGCTATGGACTGGGAGCTAGGAACTGCACCGGTTGTGAGTCTTAGATATCTAGGATTGCAGTTCATGGGATATATCTCAGCCAAATTCTTTGGCTCCACATCACCATCCAAAGGCCTTGGAAGTTCTTTAGCATCAAATAAAGGATCCATCGTTCCAGGACGAGTTTGCATTGTGAGCGAACTGAAGTCTTCTGCCAAGCCCTGAATGGCACCAATAGGGGGTGCAGATCCCGGCTGCTGCATTTGTTGGATACCTAGTGGAGTAGCCACTGGGGGTGATGGACCATAGCCTCCTTGATGAGGTAAAAAAGGAGAAGAAGCTGCAGGCTGGACAGGTCCATAATTTCCTTGATTAGCAGGGATAGCGGAATGCATAGACGGAGCTTGCATCTCAGTACCAGGCTGCTTATGGATGTATCCAGGAAAAGATGGCTGAAATGCTGGAGGAGGAACATTTGAACCCAAAGGCGCAGGAGTGGAACTCAGTGGGGGAGACCCCATTGGAACAAAAGGGGTCTGTGGCTGAGGTGGATGGGATGCGGGAAAAGATGGTGCTTGCCCAGCAGAAGGATGAATTGATGGTTGTCCCATGGGTGGACCACGCGCAAGAGGTGGTTGAATTGATGGTTGTCCCATAGGTGCTGGAAAATGCTGGAAAGGTCCAGCAGCTGGTGACATATTGGATGAAGGGGGAGGAGGAGGAGGAGGCACTGACGGGTCATTGAACCCGCCCGGTGGTGTAGGTCTAAAACTGGGTGCCCATGGTCTAACAGCAGGCCCAGACGATGAAAATGGCGAGGGCATCTGGGGAGGAGTAGGTCGAAAAGAAGGAGGCTCTGATCCAGCCACGGGACCGGTTGATGAAAACGGTGTCATACTCTGTGCAGCAGCAAAAGGTGAGGAAGCAGGCCTAGCAGGGAAGCTTGGACGACCTGGATTTTCAGTCCCCATAGATTACAGAACAATCCAAATCACTTCGCTTTTAATCAATTAAAATCTTTGTTCCATCACCAAGCCTGTTAGAAGAATGCAATTTGACGTACGCAATGCTTGATACAGAGAATCAACTATATGCATTACAATTGGAAGCGCTTTGGTTCACTTTTCCACGGTCAGCTAGTCTTGGATAGCTTACCCTACATGAATTAATTGTAAACAATACATTGAAAATAGTGCAAGTAGCAATAAGAATGAGAATTGAGCAGAAAATTAGTTTAAATTGGATGATGAAAGGCAAAGATTCATATGCAGACAAATATTGTTAGGGTTCTGAGAAGACTAGTATGAACGAAACAGGTGATTTGGATTTGAGAAGAACGAGCAACGGTCGACTCTTCTCAACTCTGACAGATCGAGAAAACGAGGGTATAGGAAGAAGAAACAGTTGAAATCGAGATCGAGGAGAGAGACTTACCGTGTTCCCGATTCGGATCGGAGACGCAGAGGTTGAATCGTTGTGTGTGAGATTGGGTGATACCAATTATACTTGGCTTAGGAAATTCAATTCCACACCCTCTCTCCCGATGCAATGAGAAGTGAGAACATTCCAGCCAGGACCACGACACGACACTAAAAAATTACACCGTTCCTTCCTCTCACTTTTTCTCTTTTTTTTTTTTAATTTTGGGTTGATCCACACCGCTCCTACCGAAACATGTGTGCTTCGGATGTAGGTTTGTCATTTGGGCTCGTTGCTTGACTTTAGGCCCATTTTTATTGTTGGACTGTAGAAGAGCTAGCCGGGGATTTAATATGGAGCACAGCTATGAAAATAGGCATATTTTGTCTTTTGGACGTGTCGTGTCGTCAAGAGCATAGTTATTAGGATACTACATAGTTATTAGCATAGTTATTCATAAGCACAATGATATATATCGTTACGTGTTAGAAAGAGATTGATATCAGATGATATAATATTGTATCATATGATACAAAAATTCAATTAAATTAAATTTTTTAATTTTTAATATAAAAAAGAAAAATAAAGAATTATTTTATGATTTAAATTAAAATATAAAAAAAATTATTAATAAGGAATAGAAAATTAAGAGTCGATTGTGATTTAAACTTAAAAATAAATCTGAAAAATATGTATTAATATATGAAATAATTAAATAAATTATTTTTTATTATATTTCTGTATCTTACGATTCGATACAATTCACGATACATGATACAAAAATAGACTAAACGATACACGATATGTATTACGATTCAACAACTTTGGTTTTTAGTGACTTATTATGGTTACCGAGAGAAAATCCATTTAGGATATGTTTGGAAAATAAGATAAGATAAGATATGAGGATTGAATAATATAGAAGGGCGAATAAAAATATAAAATTATACGACCATTATAAATTCATATCTTATTTTATGTTTAATTTACACGAGAAAAGAATAATATTACATCTGATGTTCAAGACGAGTTATATATTGTAATATATAATACAAATAAAAAACTGTTTTTTTAAAATGATTTCACATTATTTTTTAAAGTGATATTTAAATTATTTTGTTACTTGTTTATATATTAGTTTTTATTTTAAATTATTAAAATATTTAAAAGTCTCGATTCTAAATAAAATGTAACACCCCGCCTTAGGGAATAATTATACTAAAAGGAATCATCCAAATTCCAAACAACTTAAATATCAATAAACATAACACATAAATGATGTAATATTACTATATTTTAGGTCATGTTTGATGCGATGTATAAGGCCTGATAGTATAAACTTATATTATGCATTATGATATTTTCAGTTGTTTGATATGACCGTCATGTAGTATAACTTTATACATTATAATCCCTTAATATATTATAATAATGTATAATCTAATTAAGTCTAAGGGCATGTTTGGTACATAATATAGGATAAGGTCTGATAGTATAAGACTTGATAGTATAAGACATGATTGTATAAGACCTGATTAAATTTTAATACTATCCAGCGTTTGGCATGATATTATATAAAACAATATATTGTATAAGATAATATCATCCAATGTTTGGTAATACACTGTATAATACTAGATAGGTTAAAAATAAATATTTTTGTCAAAAATAACTTTTAATAATAAATTTACTTAATTCTTCCAAATATATCAGATGATATTATTTTTTATAGAAATATGTTGATCAGTGTGTCCAAAAAATATATTATTTTTTATAAAAAAAAAATCTCCAACATTTTAAAAAATTATATATTGAAAAATTATTTTTAATTTTAATATACTAATATTAAAATAATATATTAATTCTTCAGAATTGCATTGGTTAATACATCAACCCCTTATCAGACCTGATCCTACCCTCGTAGGCCTGATTAAGTTATACATCATTTTGATGTATAAAGGGATCCTGCTGCATAAGCTTATACTATACGATGGTCACACCAAACAACTAAAAATATCGTAACGTATAGTATAAGCTTATACTATCACCAGGGGCGAACCCACTAGGGGGGCTAGGGAGGGCTCCCGCCTCCCCTAATTTTTTTTTAAAAAAAAGTTATAACATGTGTAAAAAAATGTGACGCTGAAACTACCTACCGTGTTATACGCGTTTTTGCCTTCAGTAATCAGTTCCCCATGCTTCTGAGTTCTGCCTACAGCCTACACTCTTGCAGACTCTCAGAACTGCAACCAACCAGCGCAGGCAAGAGGCAACCAATTCATCCTTGAGAACATCCTTCTTTCCGTGTTCTGTTCCATCCATCACCAACGGCAACCAGGCAAGTAACGAAAATGGGTTTCTCTTTCCTTTTTTTTGGTAATATAAAATGGGTTTCTCTTAATTCCCCTCTCCATCATCATTTTCCTGACTTCACAAGTTTTCCCATCTCTTGCAGGCAGCATATATATTATATAACAAGACAAAAATAGCCCCATTTTGAAGAAGAGAGGGACGACTGTTGGAGATTGGAGAAGGTGGAATACTATTCAACAGATGACTTAACTCTGTCCCCAAAAGGAGGTAAGAGAATCACATGCTCGCCTTTTCCAGTTTTCAACTTTTCTATCTGAACATTATTTCCATTTTCATTGTGCACTCCTTCCTATATTACATGATCATATTTGTTTATGCCGTGATTTGAATTCAAAGCTTTGGATCTACCGTTGGATTTAGGTGGCCAAAAAGTTCACAATAGATATATAAAATATCCATATATTGATGTGTACTAAACCTGAGAAAAGCTCCTTGTTGGAACATTATAAGAAACAACAAGTGAAAATACGGATAAAAGAGTGTTGATATATTTTTATGTTTCCTTTATTAATTCTCATTACATATTAGGGTTATTATTTAAATAATTAGATTTGGAGACTTTATGTTTCCTTTAATTATTTAAATAATTAGATTTTCATGTGTCCCTCCAAGAATGATCTATTTCCACATGCTTCTTGTTATAATGATCTATTTCAATACAAAATTGCAAACCATAAATAATTCATAACTATATATTTTCTATTTTCTTTGTAGTGATTATTATGGGGGAAAATGCTACTATTGATACTTATTTTAAGAGAAAGAATAGTGAGTTTTTGTCCTCATCTACTCATAATGTTGAATTATCAAATATTGAGACTCTTTCTCCAAAGTCTCCTAGAATTGAAAATAAAGAAGTGGTTAAAGAAGATGATCTTACTTCATTGGAAAGAGATCCTACACTACGCCTTCCAATATGGAAATTTCCTATAAATCAACAAGATGAAATTCGTCGTGCGTATCTTAAACTTGGTCCATTTCAGTGTAAGCTTCAAAATTATCCTTTCTCTGGGCTAGAGAAGAATCGACGTCACTTTTGCTCTTCCTGGTTTGATTTGTTTCTATCTTGGTTAGAGTATTCTCCAACTAAAGATGCTGCATTTTGTTTGCATTGTTATTTATTTAGTAAACCAGGTGGCAATGATCGTTTTGGACTTAGTACATTTGTTGTTGAGGGATTCAGAAATTGGAAAAAGGTTAATAATGGAGAAAATTGTGCTTTTCTGCGCCATGTCGGAAAAAATGTTATCTCGATGCATAAAAATGCTGTGAGAACATGTAGTAATCTTATGAACCAATCTCAACATATTGAGATATTGGTTGAAAGACTTACTTCTCAGCAGATTGCAACTAATCGTTTGAGACTACAAGTTTCTGTGGACGTGACAAGATGGCTTGCTTTGCAAGGATGTGCTTTTAGAGGTCATGATGAAAACTTAGATTCACTTAATCGGGGTAATTTTTTGGAGATGATAAAGTTTTTAGCTTCCTATAATCAAGAAGTTGCATCGGTTGTTTTAGAAAAAGCTCCTCAAAATGCTTCAAATAGTTCCCCTCGAATTCAAAAGGAAATTCTTCATGTTTTCTCTCAAAAGGTAAAGGACACAATACGAGAAGAAATCTCCAATGCCAAGTTTTGTCTTATTGTTGATGAAGCTAGTGATGTATCTAAAAAAGAGCATATGGCTATTGTCTTGAGATTCGTAGATAAAGATGGTTTTATACGGGAAAGATTTTTCGATCTTGTACATATGGAAGATACAAGTGCTAAGACTTTGAAACAAGGACTATGCATCTCTCTTCGTCACCATAATCTTAATGTTCAAAATATTCGGGGACAAAAGTATGATGGAGCTAGCAATATGTGAGGTGAATGGAATGGATTGCAGGCTTTAATTTGCGCCGAGTGTCCATATGCTTATTATGTCCATTGTTTAGCTCATCGCCTTCAACTTGCCTTGGTTGCTGCATCTCATGAGGTAAAACATGTTCATCAGTTTTTTGAAATATTGAACTTCATAATTAATATTGTTACTTCTTCTTGTAAGAGTAATGATGAGTTAAGGGTTGCCCAAACAAAGGAAATTGCAAGAATGATTGCTATTGATGAACTCGAATCAGGAGTTGGTCTTAATCAGGTTGGTACTTTGCATCGAGCTGGAGGTACTCGTTGGAGTTCTCATTACAATTCGATATGCAGTTTGTTTCAAATGTTTAAAGCCACATGTGAAGTTCTTGACAATATTTCTAATGAAGGAAAGACAACATCACATCATGGAGATGCAGATGATGCATACTCATCATTGAGATCTTTTGATTTTGTCATCATATTGCACCTTATAAAGGAAATTATGGGTATTACTGAAGTCCTTTGTCAAGCTTTGCAACTAAAGTCTCAAGATATTTCAAATGCTTTATATATGATTTCAACTACAAAAGAGTTACTTCATAAATTAAAAGAGTCGGGTTGGGATGCTTTCTTAATTCATGTTCAAGAATTTTGCAAAAAATATGGCATTGACATTCCAGATATGAGTGCAAAATATATTGGAAGGAGAGGTCGTGCTCGAAATGAACAAGGTGATTTTTCTACTGAGAAATTTTACAGGGTAAATATCTTTTGTGCTATAATTGATTATCAACTACAATAACTAAATAGCAGGTTCAATGATAATACTGCTGAATTACTTACTTTGAGCATGGCTTTAGATCCAAGAAGCAGGTACAAATCATTTAATAATGATGATATTTGCAAACTTGTTGATAAATTTTAGAGTAAACACCCTTTTTAGTCCCTGTCAATATCTACGAAGTCCTTTTTAGTCCCTGACAATAAAAAAGGACCAAATTGGTCCCTGAAATTACAAAAAAGGGGCCATGTTAGTCCTTATGTCAACTCCCAAATATGTAGAGTGACCCTTTTCTTGTACTTTCAGGGACCAATTTGGTCCTTTTTTATTGCCAGGGACTGAAAAGGACTTCGTAGATATTGTCAGGGACTAAAAAGGGTGTTTACTCTAAATTTTATTCTAGAGATTTCACAGAACAGGAAAAATTGCATTTGAAGATGGAGTTACAACATTTTGAGCCTGACATTCCTAAACATCCAGATTTGATTAATTTATCAACTACTTCTGAATTATGTCAAGGGCTAGCAAGAACTGGAAAATCCACCATTTACCCTCTTATTGATAGAGTGATTAGACTTGTACTAATTCTTCCAGTTTCTACAGCAACCACTGAAAGATCTTTCTCAGCTATGAAGATAATCAAGACCAAGCTTCAAAATAGAATGGAAGATCAATTTCTTGATGATTCTTTGATTACATACATTGAAAAAGAAGTTGTTTTGAGTTTTAGCACGGATTCAATTATAGATGAGTTTAACAATATGAAAACACGTAGAGCAAGAGTCAAGTGAAGTGATATTAATTTCTGTAATAGATTTCTTTCAAAAATTTTTGTATATTAACTTTGTATTGTATTTCAAGTATGTTTATTTATGATATAATATTTTTTATTTTCGCCCCCTCTTATTAAAATTTCTGCGTCCGCCACTGACTATCATGTCTTATACATCACACCAAATAGGCCCTAAAAGGGTGGGACAAGACCTGGTAAGGGTTGATATATTAGAGGTTTATCCCTTTTCACCTTTATCTTCCCCTTCTATCCCTTTCTTCCTTGCACCCTTCACTTCTCTTCTCCCTCTGCCACCATCGGTCTGCCGTTGTCATCAGAGCACAGCAGCGCCGGTTTCAATCATTTTTTTTTCAATTTCAACCACAGATGTTGAGGTTCTCAAGCGAGCTTGACGTAATGAAAAAGCAACCCTCGAGATTCCTCGCATTGAATCTCATTTGATTTTTCGTGTCAGAGAACATATTCAATTGATGGTAACTTTTCAAATGCTCAAACCTTATTCCTTTTTTTCTTTTCTTTTTTATGATTCCTTGCAATACATTGCATACTCAAACCATTCTTGGGTTTCAACTTTGAAAACCTGTGTATAAATTTCAAGCTTTTCGGAATTTTTTCAACTAGGATAAATTAGATTACGATGTGTATTTGTAAGTTTTTCATTTGCTAGGATAAACCATTTTTGAATTTGTGATTTTTTTTTCTTTTTTCTTTGGGTGTGATTCCAGAATTTTCTTCAAAAAAATAAAAAAAATTCCATTCTTTATAATCCGTACAGTGGTGTCTGTTCGGCAAGAACATTCCCCCCCTAATTTTGATGTATTTTGTTTTTCTTGAAGGGAAAAACTGTGGAGGAGAATTCCACAGGTGGTAGTGACCCTCTTTCAGTGTCTTTATATCAGATGGATTTGGATAGAACCCAGTTTCTATTAAGATCATATCTTTGGATTCGCATCTAAAAGGTCTTTATCCACTATTGTTTGGAATCCAATGTTGTGCTTGTGTTTGATCACCTACAATCTCTTTTGGGTGTGAACAAAATTTGTGTGTTCTCATTGAATTTGTTTACGCAACTCAATATGGGTATTAATGTTCTATGATTATGGTGTGGTTATTGGCTCTAAGATAGTTTATTCAGTAGCAGTCATGAACTTTTTAAAAAAAATATTGGAGATTTTTATCTCTATAAAAAATTATATATATTCTTTAGACATATTGATTTATAGATTTTTATAAAAGTCACTATCATATGACATATTTGGAAGAATTATATAAATTCTATATTAAAGGGTGTTTTTGTCACAAATATTTATTTTTATCTTATCTAGTATTACACAATGTATTACCAAACACTTGATAATATTATTTTATACAACACATAAATACCATGTCAAACGCTAAATATTATTAAAATTTAATTGGTCTTATACAATCAGACTTTATACTATCAAACATTATCCTATTATGTACACCAAACATGCCCTTAATTATAAACTGCAGGTCTTAATTACATCATAATCACATTGTTCAACAGTCATAATAAAACTAAACAAAATGCTTTTTTTTTTTAGGTTACTAAACAAAATGCTTTGCCTATTGCGTACACATTATCACATCTTTATTTGAACTACTACTTTTGTCTAAAATTTCTGAAATAAAATTCCCAACACAAGTGAGATGTGAATTCTAATAAATTACAAAACGACCAATCTTACTCTATCACAATTCAAGATTATGCTCTAGTTGGCTGTTCTCAGGGAAATTTTGGTGGCTGATTGGTAGTGGTACAGGTGGCTCGAGGTTGTATTTGATTGATGGTGGTGGTTGGTGCGATAGTGGCCGATGGAAGCGGTGGTTGCATCAACGATGACTAATGGCAATTGTGGGGGCTAGTCGATGGTGGTGATGGTAGCTCATGGTAATGATCTTTTTAAAATTATAATTTATTTCAGGATTATAATAGTTTTTCTTATTATAATTTTTTAATCTTGTAATCCAAAATGACGTCATTTTGGAAATAAACATAAATAACTTACTTTAAACCTAATCTCAAATGAAAAATTAAGAGATCGAAATTACTAGTAAACTAGTATATTACCCGTGCGATGCACAGGGAAAAAAAGATCAAAATTTTTGTCGTCCGCCGTGGTTGGTTAATCGCACTGCAAACCTTATACTTACAAAAAAAAATTTGTGTTGTTATTTTGTTCTATATTTCAGGTGAAAAAAATTAACCACAAACAAAAATCTGCTATTATGAGGGATAATTAATTTTGCATACAACTACATCATAATACACCATAATACGTTATAATACACCATGTTCACATGAGAAAGGGATATAAAAAGAAAAATGCGTACAAATCATTGCTAACTATAACATTCATCAACAAAATCAAGGTAACAATAACACCAAGCAAATATGGATTTAAAATATCAGCTTTTACCTATAATATGAAAACGCTATTCATTCAGTGTCATTTCGTAGCAATCATTAGAGGGATAAGTTCAACATTTACTAAATATGTAATTTCTTGTGTGATTTTCGTTCCTTGTGCCTACGATACAGAAGGCAAAAACTCATTAAATAAGTGACACTAATATGTTAACACCCAAATATCATAGTATCAGCAAAAAAAAAAGATTGGATTAAATTTTTTTAAGGACAAAAAAAAAATGTTGTCGAACGGGATTTGAATGCAACTTAATCAAATAAGCATGTATAAGTCATATTTTTTGCTTACATTGCAACAAATGCATATGAACAGAATCAAAGCAACTACACTAATCTTTGAGATAGACTTTCATTTATTGCAATCACATTTAAAAAATAATAATAAATTATTATTATTTGTAAGGATTAGTGTCGTTAGTATTTGAAATTTTACAAATTTGTATTTACAAAAATTAAAATTAGATTTAAGAATTTAATTATAAAAGAAGAAGAATAAAATTTTAATTTAATTATAAAAATGTGTTTGTGGGTCGGCCCTCCGGGCCGAGTCCAATTTGCCACCTCTAACCATCAACATGTAAAACGTTTTTATATTTATCCACGAAAAAAGATTTTTATAGTTGCGTCTAGGTTTTTATATTTTATCTCAGAAATAAACTTTCATTTACTCCAATCAGATTTATAAAATAATAATAAATAATTATTTTTTTTGCAAGAATTTGTGTCGTTAGTATTTGAAATTTCACAAATTTATATTTACAAAAATTAAAATCAGATTTAGTAATTTAATTATAAAAGAAGAAGGATAAAATATCAGTTGAATTATAAAAATATATTAGCGGGTCGGCCCTCCGGGCCGAACCCAGTATTCCACCTCTAACTGTCAGCATTTTATATAATTTTTTCTTTTGCAAGGATTAGTGTCGTTAGTCTTTGAAATTTCACAGATTTGTATTTACAAAAATTGAAATCAGATTTAGTAATTTAATTATAAAGGAAGAAAGAAAAAATTTAAATTGAATTATAAAAATATATTGGCGGGCCGGCCCTCCGGGCCGAGCCCAGTTTTCACCTCTAACTGTTAGCATTTTATATAAATAATTATTTTTTTCAAGTATTTGTGTTAATTACACTCTTGCAATAAAAAAAATGAAAGTTTAATTTCTTTCTTATGTACTAAATTAAAATTTTCATTTTTATAGTTCTTAAATTTTAATAAAATTTTTTTACACAATGATAGACGTCATTTTTTATTTAAATTTAAAATTTAAAACATTTATATTAATTATACATATTTTTTTATATACTTTTTTTCTATTTCAATTTATGATTTTTTATATATTTTTTTAATTGGTTATACATGTATATTTAAAATTTTTATTTTAAATATTTTTTTTAAAAATACATATATATTATTTTAATTGGTTATACATGTATATTTAAAATTTTTATCTTAAAATTTTAATTTATTTTTTGTAAAGTATAAATTATGCCATTTCTTATTTTCCTTTTAAATTTGAAATTTTACATAATTTTTATCGACTATAAATGTATTTTTATAATTTTAAATATTTCATTATTTAATCTATAATTTTATATTAAATTTAAATCTATTATATATATCTCTTTTCCTACTGCAGAAACATTAAGTGCTGAACTATTTTTTCACCTAACAAATTCAAAATTTAAATTTTAAAGTTTGAATTTTAAATATTAAATATTTTTATCACTCAATAGACATAATAATAAATATTATTAATAAACTTAAATTCCTTCACAAAAAGTAGTGGAAAACATATATAAAAAATCGTGCATATTCTTCAACTAATAACTTCTAGTTATTCACTCACGACATAGAAAATTGTGTTAATTACACTCTTACATCAAAAGAATAAAAGTTAAATTTATTTCTTATATATTAAATTACATTTTTGTAGTGATTAAATTTTTATAATTTATTTTTTACAAAATGATAGATGTCCTTTTTTTATTAAAATTTAAAATTTAAATTATTCTGAATTAATTATAAATATTCTTGAAAAAATTAATTTTTTCGTTTAATTTATAATTTATATATTTTTTTGAATTGGTTATACATATAAATTTAAAACGTTTACGTTAAATATTTTTCTTAAAAAAATACTTTTATGGAAATTTCTTAGCCTTTTGTATTATTTTTGTACCGAGTGTCACAATTATATAACTCCATTGATAATATATATTAATGCATTCACTTGTATTTGATTGTAAACTTTAATTGTAGCATACGTTATCTGACCATTAAAATCATCAATAAATTCAAACGTTGAAAATTTAGGGAATTGGTATTCGTTTTAATTTTATTCCATCAAAATAAATTAATAAACTTTTCAACGAACTAAAGGAGGTTTTTTGAACATTTTTTTGTATTAAAATAATATACACTTTTCAATAAATATTATTAATATACTCAATAATTCCCATTTTTATGTAGAAAATAATGAGATATTAATACAGTTGTCTGCCACTAATTAATGTTGAAATCTTTTCCCACCTATATTATGTTTAAAATTCGTATTTTGAAAAAGTAGTGGGGGTATTAATATAGATGTTTGCCACCAATTAATGCTGAACTTTTTTTACTCCTATATTAAGTTTAAATTTCGAATTTTAAAAGTTAGTGGGATTTTAATAAGAATGCCAAATACCAATGCAGGAGTTAGTGAGATCTTAATTGAGTTTTTAAATTTAAAGTTAAAATAAAAATTTAAAAAGTTATTATAATAGGAAACATTTCAAATTCTTGTGGGTGTGAACATAAAACTGAAAATAATTTAGAAATTTGAATTTGATATTATGAATCAAGACAATTACAATATACATCAATGAACTTTTCAACGAACTAAAGGAGGTTTCTTGAACATATTCTTTGTGTTAAAATAATATACACTTTTCAATAAATATTATTAATATAGTCAATAATTCCCATTTCTATGTAGAAAATAATGAGATATTAATACAATTATCTGCCACTAATTAATGTTGAAATCTTTTTCCACCTATATTATGTTTACAATTCGAATTTTGAAAAAGTAGTGGGGTATTAATATAGATGTTTGCCACCAATTAATGCTGAATTTTTTTTACTCCTATATTAAGTTTAAATTTTGAATTTTGAAAGTTAGTGGAATTTTAATAGGCCTGCCAAATACCAATGCAGGAGTTAGTGAGATCTTAATTGAGTTTTAAATTTAAATTTAAAATAAAAATTTGAAAAGTTATTATAATAGGAAACATTTCAAATTGTTGTGGGTGTAAACACAAAACTGAAAATAATTTAGAATTTAGAATTTGATGTTATGAATCAAGACAATTACAATATGAGAAGTTGAAATAACAATTATTTCCGGGTACAGAAAATAAGAACCTCAAACGCAACACAATGAAGAAACACTGTCAAAAAATATGAAATTAATATGTTATGCAATTAGAAATTTATCCATCGGTTTCAAATTCATTCTTAGCAGTAAGACAAAAAAACTATTCAGCATCGATGAATACAGATGCCCAGAGTTGGACATATACCCACCATCACTTCCAATGCCTTGACCACAACCACTTGATGTCTTCGTAAAAAATTATAAATTATGTTATAAAAAAAAAAAAAAATTATAAATTATAATTTTTGATACCCCTAGTGGCAGCCTAAAAAATAGTCGCTGCTGCCGCTGCATCCATCCCAACTGTGTTTTGAGATTGGCTGTCTTTGGGATTTGAATCTTGACCATCCTTCTTTGACTTGCCAATAATCATCTTGAATTTCTCTTTCCGGTCCATATCATTGGGTAGATCAGAACCCATAGATCCAAATGAAAGATTGTCGCTTTCTTCATATACAGTGGTATTATTGTAAGCAATTGGATAGAGCAATCACTTGCAGCTCAAACTCAAACTTTACAATACGTTGAAATTAATCAGATGAACGTGTCCCAACATAAAAAGCAATTAAATCTAGCCTTAATCCTCCACTCCTTTTTAGAAGGATTAAGATCTTTAATAAAATCATACTTGGAATACATAACCAATCAGGTAATATTGGCTCAAAGCCTTCGAGGACAAAGAAAAGAACGAAATATAGACGCTTCCAAATACCTATTTATACACGAATATGCACTATTCGATTTAAAAATGGTCATTTAATTATTCGATTTAAAAAATTAAAATTAAATTTTTAAAAGAATTTTTTTTTCCACCATCCATATTCAAATTCAAAATTTTAAACCATTTCAAATTTTGAATTTTAGATCAGATGACGCATTCCAACATAAAAAGCAATTAAATCAGCTGATTTCTTTTTGGATACCAATGTGATGGGCAGTGAGACATTCAATGTCTTGTCTGCCACCACAAATGGTCATTTAATTATTCTATTTAAAGATTAAAATTCGATTTTTAAAGAATTTCTTTTCCCACCATCCAAAATTTTAAACTATTTCAAATTTTGAATTTCAGATCAGACGACCAATTTCAACATAAAAAGCAATTAAAACACTTGATTATCCAATTAAAATTTTGAATTTCAAAACCATATTTATTAATTATTCTTTTATGTCTGCCACCACAAACAGTCATTTAATTATTCAATTACAAAATTAAAATTCAATTTTTAAAAGAAATTCTTTTCCCACCATCCATATTTAAATTCAAAATTTTAAATCATTTCAAATTTCGAATTTCAGATCAAACCACCAATTCAAACATAAAAAGCAATTAAAACACCTGATTATCAAATTTATTTTGTCTGTCAGCTCTCTTGATTCTTGATTGTTATGATATTCGAATCATTATATAACAAAGATAATGTCTTTGTTATATCATTATTGTGTATATATTTTTTAAAAAATAACCATAACGAAATTGTGAATTGAACGACAATCAGGTCTTCAACAATTGTGAAATTTGTTTTTGTTTCTATTGATCTCCATGAATAGAGATCGTGAATGCATGTCTGTGAAAAGAGTTTTCTTTTTATTGAATTTAAAATTTCGAATTTCAGATTGTGCAAAATAAATACATAATTTCGAAATTTAATTGATAAACCATTTAAAAATTTTGAAAATTCAATTTTTAAAAGAATATTGGTATGATAGTTTATCTGATAGAGTTTTGTTTTTATTGAATTTAAAATTTCGAATTTCAGATTGTGCAAAATAAATACATAATCTCGAAATTTAATTGATAAACCATTTAAGATTTCGAATTTCAGATGAGATGGTCAATTCCAACATAAAAAGCAATTAAAATAACTGATTTTTTTTTTATACCAATGTGATGGGCAGTGAGACATTCAATGCCTTGTCTGCAACTATTATTCGATTTAAAAATTAAAATTCAATTTTTAAAAGAGTTTTTTTTTTCCAATTTACCCAATAAAGAAAGTTTGTATATAATCAAATTGTAGAATTAACCAAGGAGTGACACTCGACAAAACTTTCCAGCAGTGAACTATCCTTTATATATATATATATATATATATATATAAGTAATATCTAATAGTTCTAGTAAGAAAAACAAAAATCTAATGATTCTATATTTTTTTTTATCCATCTGGAAATTATCCACTCATGTTTTGTCACGTTGATCGCTGTATGCAAAATATTGTTTATTTTGAAGAAAAAAGAAACTTAATAATTCCCGGGTCCAACTCACCCACCCACCCAATGATGAATGATGAGGGATTAGAGCGCAAAGCGACGAATGAGCGTAATTAGATGCTTATCTTGTCTTATCTTAGAGTGTTAGCATAGCATTTAGTACCATAATTTATTGTATTTTAAAGATGATGACTCTACAATTGAAAATCAGGAGCACTGCCATGGTAGCGTCCATCAATTCGACCTACCCCCTTCCTTTGCTTCAATGGCGAACTAATTAGATTACTTACCTCAATTGTCTGTCATAACTCCACAGCTTAAAACCAATCACATCGTTTGCTTTTGAGATCGTAAATGGCGAGGAAGAAGATCAGAGAGTACCAATCCAAGAGGCTCCTCAAGGAGCACCTCAAACGACTTGCCTCCATTGACCTTGACATCCGATCAGCTCAGGTTTCCAATTCCCACCACTTCATACTAACTAGATTCAAATTCTGGACAATTTGACCTTTAATTGTTATGTCTTTCTTTTAATCTGTAATAACTATGTGCATGTCACGATGTTTAATTTGTTATATTATGAATTCAATTAATCACTACTGGACTATGATGGTTTTTGCTTAGGTTACAGAATCAACAGACTTCACTGAGTTGACAAACCAACACCCATGGCTTTCCTCCACCAAATTGGTTGTGAAGCCAGATATGCTGTTCGGGAAGCGTGGAAAGAGTGGCTTGGTGGCTCTCAATTTAGATATAGCACAAGTAGCAGAGTTTGTGAAAGCACGCCTTGGTGTTGAGGTGATTGCTGAAAAGTCTTGATTTGATTGTTGCTTGTTGCTTGTTGCTTGTTTGATTTCATCTTCCTGAACTTTGTATTGGATGTTTCTTAGGTTGAGATGGGTGGATGCAAGGCACCTATAACCACATTCATTGTTGAGCCATTTGTTCCTCATGACCAAGAGTTTTATCTATCCATTGTTTCTGAAAGGCTGGGCTGTACTTTCAGCTTCTCAGAATGTGGGGGCATTGAAATTGAAGAGAACTGGGATAAGGTATTGATGTATGGTTAAATTTTGTTACTGTTTTATTAGCTGTGCCTTATTTGTTGTCATAGTTATGCTTCCTTTCTGCAAATGCAACCCTGATAAGCTAACATATATGATTGCTATCCCATATAGGTTAAAACTATATTCCTTCCAACTGAGAAGCCTATGACTCGGGAGGCATGTGCGCCATTAATTGCTACACTTCCTTTGGAGGTGATTATGTATCTGTTTCTCGTGTCTTTGTAATGGGAACTTGTATCATGTTGACCATTCAGAGAATTAAAAAATTATGTGTTAGAACTCAAGAATTGCTCTCACGCTAACTGTAAATCTGACCAAACTTAAATAATTTAGATTATCATGAACATGTGATAATTTATGTGACTGCATAATCTGGATGCACTTAATGCCTTTTGGTGCTAAACATTCTCCTATCTTTATTCAGACTTGAAAGATTTCACATTCTGCATTTTTAGGATAATGCATGTTGGCATTCAAATTTTTTTTCTTTCTATTACTTCTTTTTATTTTTTTCTTGTGTATCTGACAAATGCTTATTCTACCTTTAATTCCCAGATTCGGGAGAAAATTGGCGATTTTATAACGGGTGTGTTTGCTGTCTTTCAAGGTATGCAATTAACAAGCTTGAAAAACTTGTGTAACCTGTCCTTATTTTGAAACAAGAAGCATAATATGAACTCTGGAGTATAGAGTATGAAAATACTTTAGAACTTTAATATGTGATTTTAAGTTATTTATCTTAATTTGAAAAATTGTGCAGGGAAAGTTAAAAGAGAGTTATGAATATAATTTACCTTTTTTTCTTAGTACAATCAATGGGAATAAGTACTAAATAGTCCATTTTATGCAAGACAGGGTTCTTTTGCTCATTAGTAATGCCAACTTTCATGGCTATTCCTATATGCACAATTTTCAGGTCTAATCTCTTTTTCCTCTGAATATGTCCTTAGATCTGGACTTCAGTTTTGTAGAGATGAATCCGTTTACGCTGGTGAACGAGAAGCCATATCCACTGGATATGAGGGGAGAATTGGATGACACTGCTGCATTCAAGAACTTCAACAAGTATAATCCTTTGATATTGATGTTCAGAATATTTTAATTTTGTAATCAAGGAGATTTAGCATTTAATGCATATAATAAGCTGTAATCCAATTTATATATTGTTATGCATTCAGGTGGGGTAATATAGAGTTTCCATTGCCTTTTGGAAGAGTTCTAAGCCCTACAGAAGGCTTCATTCATTCCTTGGATGATAAGGTATTTGTATTTTTATCTGCATAGTCATTATCATATTGGTACAATTTCTGTGTGAGCATGTGTTTAAGGAAGGAGGGTTTCTTTTTCTTTAAGCTTCTGCTTCTAGAAGTCCTTGCACAAGCCTCCTCTGGCTTTTAAAGGACAATGACTCGGCAACTAGGCCGTTTTTGCTGATCACTTCTTAAGAAAGATGCATGCTTTGGTGAGCAGCCTCTTCATGATCTTACTGACTTGAAAGATTTTGAGAATCTATAGTATTAAGGAACTTGAGAAAACTCATATTGATGAAAGAAATGAGAAGAACTTAATGAATGAAAGATACATCATGAGCTGGTTTATATACCAGTATACAGAAGTAAAGAAAGCTAAAGAAAGTAAAGAAGATAACTGAGATTAACTGATAACTAACTCAGCTAGTAACTAACTTATAAGCTAACTGAAAATAACTAACTAAATTTTAACTGCTGACTGTTACTACTGTATTACCCCCCCTCAAGTTGGGAGATGTATGTCTTTCATCCCCAACTTGGACAAAAGAGTGTGAAATGGAAGCGGGTGTAAAGCCTTGGTATAGATGTCAGCAATTTGAGCAGTGGAGCGGATGGGCAGAAGATGTATAAGACCTGTAGTGATTCTTTCACGAACTATATGACAGTCAATGTCGATATGTTTGCTACGTTCGTGAAAAGTTGGATTGTGTGCAAGATGGATTGCAGATTGGTTATCACAAAAAACAGAAATTGGTCCAGACAGAGGAAGGTGAAGGTCCCTGAATAGGAAAGAGAGCCATTGAAGTTCACAAGAAAGGCTGGCTAGAGCTCTGTATTCTGCCTCTGATGAAGAACGGCTAACAGTGGTTTGCTTCTTAGATCTCCATGAGATAAGGGCAGATCCTAGAAAGATGCATTGTCCAGAAATTGAGCACCTTGTATCAACACAACATGCCCAATCTGCATCTGCTAACCCAGTGAGAGCAAGTTGATTTTGAGAAGGAAAGAATATTCCTTTGGATGGTGATCCTTTCAGATATCTTAAAACACGAAGTGCAGCTTGAAAGTGAGTCATCATGGGCTTAGCTACAAACTGGCTAAGTTGTTGAACTGAAAAATTGATGTCAGGTCTGGTTGTGGTCAAGTAGAGTAGTCGTCCAACTAATCGTCTATATTCAGCTGAATCATGATAGGCATCACCTTGATCTTTCTGTAATTTGATTGATGGGTCCATAGGAGTTTTACATGGTTTTGCAGCAAGTAGTCCTGCATCTGAAATTAATTCCAAAGTATATTTTCTTTGATTGATGAGAAGGCCAGATTTAGAACGGGCAACTTCTAAGCCCAAAAAATATCTGAGAGAACCCAAGTCTTTGATCTTAAATTGTGCATCAAGTTGCTCCTTTACACGTGTGATTTCTGCAAGACAATTGCCAGTAAGGACAATGTCATCGACATATATAAGGAGAGCTGTGAAATTGGTTCCATCTTTTCGAATCAGTAAGGAGTGGTCAGCTGCTGACTGTGTGTAGCCAAGATGCAGAAGAAAAGACACCAATTTTGCGTTCCATTGGCGACTAGCTTGCTTTAGACCATAGAGAGATTTGGTTAAAAGACAAACTTGATTTGATTTAGTGCTGTTCATACCTGGAGGAAGAGACATGTAGACTTCCTCATGCAATTCTCCATGTAGAAATGCATTATTAACATCCAGTTGTTCTATGAACCATCCTTTGGCTGTGGCTATCGCAAGAAGAGTTCTAACAGTAGTTATCTTAACAACTGGAGAGAAAGTCTCAAGATAATCAATTCCTTCAAGTTGGGTGTAGCCTTTAGCTACTAATCTGGCTTTGAACCTTTCGATGGAGCCATCTGCTTTGTATTTGATTTTATATACCCATTTGCAGCCAATGGGTGTCTTGCCTGGAGGAAGATCAACAAGTTTCCAAGTTTGATTTTGATGTAAAGCTGTCAATTCATCATTCATGGCCTTTCTCCAACAGTCAAGTTTGGATGCCTGGGAATATGATTTGGGTTCTGTTTGGGAGCTCACATTTAAGCAAAAATGTTTAAAGGTATTGGAACATTTGTCATAGGATAAAACAGATGAAAGAGGGTGTGGTGTATTCATACCTGAGGAAGATTGATCAGCTGGAGCAGTTGATGATAAAAGACAATGATAATCTGTCAAATATTTGAGTTGAGTTCTCATTCTGTCAGATCTTCGAAGATTATTTGTGGAATCAAGAGATGAGGGATTGACATTTGTTTGTGGCTGACTGTTACTGCTGTAATGTGGTTGATTTGCAGAATGGTTAGTATGTGGTATGTTGGCTCGATTGGGATTAAGTAAGAGGTCATCAGGGGTATCTGGTGATAAACTTGTGATGACATTAGGATTATGGTTACTGAATGTGGTATGAGGAGTTTTGAAGGGAAATTGTTTTTCATAGAAAATGACATTTCTGGAAACAAAGACAGTGTTGGTAGAGGTGTTTAAAAGAAGGTATCCTTTTGTGCCTGTTTTGAATCCAAGAAAAATGCTTTTGCAAGCTCTTGGAGAAAATTTTGTTCTGTCTTTTGTCAAAGTGGATGCATATGCAAGACATCCAAAGACTTTTAAATGAATTAAAGTGGGAGGTTCAGAATAGAGTAAGTCATATGGTGATTTATTTTGTAAAAGGGGAGAACATAATCTGTTCATGATGTGAACAGCATGTGTAACAGCAAAACACCATAGGTTTGGTGGAAGATTGGCTTGAAAATATAGGGATCTAGCAATGTTAAGGATGTGTTGGTGTTTTCTCTCAACTATTCCATTTTGTTGAGGACATTATACACAAGATTGTTGATGTACAATTCCTTTGCTAAGGAAGAATTCGTTCATTGAAAATTCAACTCCATTATCACTTCTTAAAGTTTTTATTGTTGATTGGAACTGAGTTTGAACAAAACTAATAAATTTTTTGACATTTGTTCTAGTTTCAGACTTACATTTCATGAGTATGATCCATGTGAATCGACTGAAATCATCAACTATGGTAAGGAAGTATCTATGGTTGTGTATTGAATGAATAGAATAGGGTCCCCAAATATCAACATGAATTAATTCAAAAGGTTTTATACTTTTGATGGAACTAAGAGAATAAGGCAATTTCTTTTGCTTTGAAAGATGACATGTATCACAAGGGATTGTATTTTTACAAGAAATAAAAGGAAAATGTAAGTACATGGCTTTAAGAACAGAATCAGATGGGTGTCCAAGCCTTAAGTGCCACAGATTTTCTTCTTGATCTGAGGTTGTATTATTACAAGAACTCGAATTGGCAGAATATCTTTGTATTTCATCATCATGTTGAAGAATGTATAATCCATTCAACAGCTTAGCTGAACCAATCGTCCTCCTTGATGAAATCTGTATAATGGAACAGGTTAAATCTTTAAAAATGGCATAACAACAAAGATCATGTAAGAGTCTGTTTATGGAAATCAGATTAACATGAAAATTTGGAACAAAAAGGACATTTTTCAAGGTTATGGTATTTGACAGTCTAATGGTGCCTGAATGAGAAGCAATTATTTTCGACCCATCAGGTAGTGTGATTGGTATAGGTTTGATTTTGCTGATGAAAGAAAATTGGGAAGTTGAATGAGCTATGTGGTCAGTAGCTCCAGTGTCCAGGATCCAAAAAATAGGATTCTCACCTGTATTTGCAGAATCAACATTAAAAACAGAAGTTTGAACCATATTGGAGGCATGTGAAGGAATAGTTTCCTTCGATTTCTGTAGTAGATTCAGCAATTCTTGATGCTGTTCTTTGGTGAAGTTTGCTCCCAAAGTGGATTCAGAATGATCAATGGTATATTCAGAATGATCAATGGTATCTTGCTGTGAATCTTCAATAGCTAAATTAGCCATATGATTTCTTGTTTGATATCCAGGAGGAAAACCATGTTTCCTATAACAGGTTTCAACTGTATGATTTGTCATCTTGCAATAAATGCAAAATTTCGATATGTTGCCTCTACCTCCTCCATAGTTGCTTCTGCCTGCAACTCCTCCATAGTTGTTTCTGCCTGCAAATCCACGACCTCTACTTGCAAATCCACCCCTGCCTCTGCCTTGTTCAATTGCATTAGCAAAAACTTGTTGCTCAGGTTGAGTGATTGATCCATTATCGAGATTCAACCTCCTTTCCTGTTGAATTACTAAAGAGAATGCCTTATTTACACCTGGTAAAGGTTCAATAAGCATTACCTGTGATCGAACATGTGAAAAATGGTCATTGAGACCTTTCAAGAATCTGATTACTCTACTTCTTTCTCTTATTGACTTCACTTGATTTATAAGGTCACAGTTGCAAGCTGGCTGACATCTGCATGATGGAATAGGTTCAAGATTATCCATTTCATCCCATAAATTCTTGAGTTGGGTGAAATAATCAGCAACTGAAAGTTCTCCTTGTTGCGTTTTGAGGATATCATCTTCAAGATCAGAAAGACGAAATATATCTGATTGTGCAAATCTTTCTTTTAAATCATTCCAGACATCAATAGCTTTATCAGCCCACAATACTGACTGTGCTATGGATTCTGAAATCGATTTATGGAGCCAAGAAAGAATCATGGTGTTGCATCTATCCCAAGCGATGAACATGGGATCTTCAGGTTCTGGAATGTTGATTCTGCCTTCAACAAAAGTAAGCTTGTTTTTGGATCTAAGAGCCATTCTCATAGCTCTAAACCAAGTATGATAATTCTTGCACAAAAATGTATATATAAACTCCACATTAGTTGCACATACAACCAATGTGGGACTATATATCTCAACACGCCCCCTCACACGAGAGCCCTTTGGGCTTGAAGAGTGGATAATGCAACAGGCCCAGCCTACCTGTGCTAAGAAATTCCACGAGAGAAAGTGGGGGACGGCGAGGCTCTGATACCATATTAAGGAACTTGAGAAAACTCATATTGATGAAAGAAATGAGAAGAACTTAATGAATGAAAGATACATCACGAGCTGGTTTATATACCAGTATACAGAAGTAAAGAAAGCTAAATAAAGTAAAGAAGATAACTGAGATTAACTGATAACTAACTCAGCTAGTAACTAACTTATAAGCTAACTGAAAATAACTAACTAAATTTTAACTGTTGACTGTTACTACTGTATTATATAGTATTATATTCTTCTTAGAGGAAATTATCTGAGCAATTTGTGGGTAGTAAGCACTCTATAGACTTCTCTAGCCAGACAAAGATCTAAAATTACATAGCAGTTACAACACATAGTCTGTTACAAGCAATATTTCCTAATATGTCCTCCATGCCCCTCCCTGTTACAGCAACATTATACCCAAAGAAACTATTCCATTCAGGAACAACAATTGTTTAACGCATGATATATTGCCTCCAAAGAAGATTCTGCTCCACCCATTTCCTAACTCTAAGTGCGTGATTGGATTATCTGTTTTTTTTTTGTGTGTGTGTGTGTATGTTTTTGTGGGGGGCACTAAATTGCTATTGCTATAAATATATGGAAAGTTTTTCTTTCTGTAATTCTTTTATATTTTGCTGGAAACAAGCTTGAATTTTGTGGTTTTTTATTTTTTCCTTTTTTCTGAAAAAAGCATATCCAAGTGTTTAATGTGAAGGACATTTGAGCATAACATACTTGCAGAGTAGTTTGCAACCTCTCTTGCCAGTTTACTTTACATGGGCTTTACTTACATCAACTCAGCTAATGATGATATTTGGAACACCTCCAGAACTGTGTACAATACAGGGCACTTTTGCACAATGATAACTGGGAAAATCCTTAAAATTTGAAAAATGTTATCAGAATTTTAACTATTTTCCATCATCATTCTGATGAAATTAGGAACATAGTTCTCCTGGGCTCATATGATAAATCCTGCCTAAATAAGTGGTAGCCTAGATAATAAAGTATTAAGCTCTATAATCAGCTATCTGTTACCTGGATAATTTATACCTTAAAGTACTCGCTGTTGCAGTACCTTGTTTTTGTAAAAGTCATGCTTCCCTGTTTTAATAGTTACAAATTGAACTTTCCTCTGTGTAGAGATTGCTAAAATTATATTCTTTTTCATATTGCAGACAAGTGCATCTTTGAAATTTACTGTATTGAACCCAAAAGGACGCATCTGGACAATGGTAGCTGGTGGTGGTGCAAGCGTAATTTATGCTGATACTGTAAGTTGCCATGTTTTTATGGATTTATTTCAATTCTGGCTGAAGTGTGAATAGAGGACCAACGCAAACAGTGATTATTGGGAGGTTTGCTTTTGCTCTTGGTATTCTGGTGACTTGATCTCCCTTTTATTTTCTAGGTTGGAGATTTAGGTTATGCATCGGAGCTTGGCAACTATGCTGAGTATAGTGGAGCTCCAAATGAGGAGGAGGTTCTGCAGTATGCAAGAGTTGTAATTGATGTAAAGATCATAACCAATTGGGTTTTTTTCTCTTTTCTTGTTTAAGTTTCAAAAATTTGTCCTAGCTAGTGGCTTCATCACATGTCTACATAATTTGTGAAAATTGTGCTCTTGACTGTGTTGCAGTGTGCTACAGCAGACCCTGATGGCCGTAAGAGAGTCCTTCTTATTGGAGGTGGTATTGCAAACTTCACTGATGTTGCTGCCACATTTAGTGGGATTATTCGAGCCCTAAAAGAGAAGGTATGTTATTGGTATTTGTTTCCTTATTCCACTTTGTTGGGTTTCATTTGCAAGTTATGGGATTTGGAGTCCCACATTGATTGTATGGGCAACTAATGTGAGGTTTATAAGACCTTGGACACTCTTACCCTTTGAACTAGCTTTTGTGGTGGTGCATCTCAAGATCTCATCAAATGGTATCAAAGCATCCATCACATGGAGTGTGCGTGGTGGAATGTTGGGTTCCATTTGCAAGGTATAGAACTTAGAGTCCCACATTGGTTGTATGAGCACAACTAATTGGTTTCCCCATTCCTTCACAGGAATCAAAGCTTAAAGCAGCAAGAATGCACATCTATGTCAGAAGAGGTGGTCCAAACTATCAGACTGGTTTGGCAAAGATGCGTGCATTGGGGGAGGAATTGGGAGTACCAATTCAGGTAAGGATGACAATCTTTCTATGGATCTTGCATTTAAATGTGTCATGAATATGCTCAGCTGCTGACCAGCAACTTTTAGTTATCAGAATCCCGGAACAATGTGTAGTTAATAGATGCTTTTTGGTTTGCAAATGGCATAAATTATTGAGCAATATTGTAACTTGAAGTTCTTTTATTATTTTTGGATACAATAACTTGTAGTTCTTAACCTTAAGGCTTTGGCATTATTAGGCCTCGAGGATTTTAAAGCAGAACAGGCGGAGTGTCTGCATTAGAGTCTTGCGTAGAGAGTTCTCTACCATTTTCTTAAAAAATAAATTAAATGTATGATATAATATTGTCAAAATGCAAAATTCCTTTTTTGTCTCTCGTTCTGTGATTGTGGTAATCTTGTGGTTGCAGGTTTATGGGCCGGAGGCCACAATGACCAGCATCTGCAGACAGGCTATCGATTGCATCATGTCTGAAGCATAAAGCAGAATACTTTTTGTCACCAGTATCATCATGTTTCGTTCCTTAAACTAATTTGGTGGTGTTTTGATGGATATAAGTCTATACCAGTCAATAGGGAATAAGATTGAAGGGAAAAGGATAGATGTCGAAAGCCTGAAATTGTTCTTTTCATATATTTTCTTCCTTTTGTGATTTTATTGTTATATTTTGACCCCAATATGGTCATAACATTATAAAATTCCCAAAAGTATATGTGGAAAATGTAATTTTATGTCCATTTGATTTGCTATAAAAAAGGACAGCACAACTCAAAATAAATTGTGATTGTTCAAATAGTATAAGTACCCCACAAAAAGTAACTGAAGGAACAGTAAAAATCTCTAAATTTTTGTTATTCACAAAACTAAGTTATAAAATCTTGTCCACAACACAAAGAGAAAAAGACCAATAATTTCTACTCTTTTATAATTCCATCTTTATTGTGCACAAATCAATGCATAATACATTGGGTATTATATAATAAATTGGTATATTTTATTTATGGATATCATAAAAAAATTAGTCTCGCGCATTAGCAACCAAAATTTATCGTGTGACTCAACATTTGTGTTGTACTGATTGGTTTGTGTTGTCCTTCAATGTACATCAAATGCAATCTTAGTTTATGATATTTCTTACAAAGTGTTAAATTTCATGTTTTCATTCTCTTTTTGTAAGATTTTGTGTTGATGTCGTGGATAGATATGATTTCTCAAGTTTATTCAAATTATTTGAAAAAGTTATATGGTATTAGAGCTTCCTGATCACATGGTCTATATGATTCAATGTTGGGATTTTTGGATAAGGAAATGTGTTAAATATAAATTTATTAGTTTTTTACCACCCAGCAACATAAAACATAAACTTTTTTGTCACCGTTAATTTTGTCTCATTTCATTCTTTCCTAAAGCTACGTTACTCTGTAGTCTGTTCCCACCACTGACATTAATCATGTCTAGTCCTTAATTAAATATAAATATACAGACATGAACCATATTAAAAAATATATATTCCAGACAGAGTATAGGATATCATTACAATTCTTTCCTAGTCTGTTTAATAAAAAGTTTCATTAAGAAAGTTAACCCATTTGTCTGCTGTCAGTTCTACGCAAATTTTATTCTCATTGCAAATAATGGACACCAGAATAAGATTACTAGGGTTTGAGTTTTGGAATCATTCAGGTTTAATTGTTCTGTACAATGATTACTACTGACTCACCAGAAATCAGAGAGAAGAATTCGGCTACAAAGTTTATTTTGTACACTGTGGGAAGTTCTGTTTTTTTATTAATAGAAATTCTGGGTATCGGTTTATATGGTTCGAGCCAACATTTAATTTTGAAACATTAACTAATCAATCATATCCCGTGGCCCTCGAAATAATAAATAATATTCTATTGGGGGTTTCTTATTGCTTTTGCTGTCAAATCGCGGATTATACCCTTACATAGATGGTTACCAGACACCCATGGAGAGGCACATTACAGCACCTGTATGCTTTTAGCCGGGATTTTATTAAAAATGGGAGCGTATGAATTGGTTCGAATTAATATGGAATTATTATCCCATGCTCATTATATATTTTGCCCCTCTCATTGCAAATAATGGACACCAGAATAAGATTGTTTGAGTTTTGGAATCATTCAGGTTTAATTGTTCTTTAATTGTTCTGTACAATGATTACTACTGACTCACCAGAAATCAGAGAGAAGAATAGATAATATGATTAAAAGCATACCAAGATTGGTTCAAACCGGAGAGATAACGATAACCATGGAACCATGCAAACTTGGACAGGTTCAGATATAACCTAGGGTTGAAACTAAAATGGTTTTTTGACCAAAATATAATGGTCCCGGCGGGGCTCGAACCCGCGACCTTCGGCTCATAAGACCAACGCTCTAACCAACTGAGCTACGGGACCATGATATTCATGTATTTTGTGATTTTTATTTAATTAATAACGTTAATATAGAAGCCTATTTCCAAACACTGCTTGTTTTATTGAGAAAACGAGGGCTACCTTTTGTTATGGTTGTGCAGTGTGCACTTCTACAAGTTTATACTTATTTTCTTTGTCTTATACCAATATTGTCTGACTTTTGTTTCTTTATCTGTTTTATGTTCATAATTCCACTATAAACTCTTAACTGAAGTTATATCAAACATCGAATTGAAAATGAAATCCCATTTGCATTCTTTGAATAGTTAGTTTTGGAGGCTTTTTAACCATTTTGCTCCTAATTAATTATTTAATAATCATTTTGTCCCTGATTGGAAACTATCTATCAATCTGTCCCTCTTTAATCGACTAAGCCAAAAATTTAATCGACTAAATGATCGAATGAATATTTAGTCGATTAAATCTCCCTATTTAATCGACTAAATCTCCCATACACAAGGTTGTTCTTCTGATAAAGAGGTAGATTTAGTCGATTAAGTTGAAGATTTAATCGACTAAATCTTCATTCGATCATTTAGTCGATTAAATTTTTGGCTTAGTCGATTAAAGAGGGGCAGATTGATAAATAATTTTCAATCAGGGACAAAATAATTATTAAATAATTAATGAGGGGCAAAATGGTTAAAATGCCTAATTTTGAAAGCCTGCGTATCATTTGCAAAGTCTAATAGAAGGGAAAAAAACAACTAATACATATTATATTTGAACAAAGGGTTATTGTACTTGAATAAAAAGGTATTTACCTCTAATTATCATCCTTCCTTCAGTTTTTTTTTTTTCCTCTCTAATTATCGCAGGCTCTCCTTGTTGTCTGTGTTCACAAAGGGAAAATCTTGTTCGTGCAAGGAACACTGCTCCCGAATAATAATACCTCCAAATCAAAACATTTTACTGTATTAAATTTGCATTTAAAAACCAATAGGTGACTTTCCTTATCCCTATTGAAATCCCCGGATACTTTTTCTCTTTTAAGAAGAAATATTATAATTTAGGTTTGATATAAATAACAGATCCAAGACTTCCAAGATGCGGGGATAGCTCAGTTGGGAGAGCGTCAGACTGAAGATCTGAAGGTCGCGTGTTCGATCCACGCTCACCGCATGTTCCATTTTTTGTAGTTTTAAGGCACCGTTCTAATTTGCAGAATTATTTAGTGCATGTTAAACATTACTTTCGAATGAACTGGGAAAGTGAAAATTGACACTCAGATTTTAACTATGGGAAATAGAAGTATATTGTTTCAGATGGTGGGACCCACATTTGTTTTGTTTTTTGAAAATAAGTGTGGGTTTCATAATTTTTATCTCTACAACATAACTTAATAATTTTTCTACAATATTTTTTTTTTCCCTTTAACTATTCTTGTTGGGCTACAAAAAAATATATTTACAGATGTTAATTTTGATGTGAATAGCTAAGTTTTTGGCAAAAATAAATAAGTAAATAGGTCAAAAAAGACTGTTTGGTGTAATGTATAAGGTTGATAGTATAAGTTTATATTATATGTTATAACATTTTTAATTGTTTGGTGTGACATCGTATAATATAAACTTATACAACAATAATCTTTAATACATTAAAATGATATATCATTTAAGGGTGTTGATTTTCTTCTGTTGCAGATGAAATCAACACTTTTCTACAAACCCATCGAATCTCGAGCTTTCTTATTTTATTTTTTTAACTTGTGAACCCTACCAAATTTTGAGAGTGCAGGAATGAAGTTTTGTTTTTCTGTAAAAGGAGAAACAAATATCCCATCATTTAATAATTTCTTAGATATATAAATTCAAATGGTTATGCACTTAATAAGGTGGAAGCAGTTTTAGATATCTCTTCACACTGTTAGCCAGTTAGAGAATATATATTGCAAAAGTCCTCCTTTATTGGGAAATTTTCTTAGTAGCCCTACTTATTGTATTGTGATGAAATCCAGCCTTGTAGATATGGCAAATTGCCTGAGTGTGAGATATTATTGTACAAGTGTTAGCATCTATGTATGCAATAAAAAGCATCATCATCTTCTCCCCAAATTCTGAATATGGAATTCTAACCAAAGAACAAGATTACACAAAGTTAAATTGTGAGGAATTTTTACTATGCATAAACGAGAAAAGCATATGACATCAAGCATAATGATGAGTGCATAAATACAAAAAAGTGAAGTTTTACATGAATGCATGATTAAAAAATAATCTAGTTTGCTGAATATATTTTTACTTCAAAGTTTCTTTTTAAAAATATCTTTAATAAAAATTGTATTAATTAATATCAAAATTTCATGCATTGAAAATTAATTAAAATTGCAGAGTGAGTGATTTACAACCAACTTAGGAATCTAATCTTTTCAGTTGTCATTAGATTGATTTTTCTACATAGATGATGTGGTGAAAAAGATGAGGTGTATTTGAAAAAAGGGAAATGCAGGTGTTCGTGGTGTTCGCCTCTAGACCTCAACTATGTTATGTGATTACTGAAAAGGTTCATTTAAGATTTTTTTTTCTTTGGCCATATATTTAATTGGTTTAATATTATATTTAAAATTAATATCATATTATATATTTGAAAATAATTATATAAATTATTTATTAAAGAGTATTTTTGTCAAAAAATATTTATTTTTATTCTATCTAGTATTAAACAGTGTATTACCAAATATTAGATAGTATTATCTTATATAATACCGTATCAAACATTGGATAGTATTAAAATTTAGTTAAGGCTTATACAATCAGGTATATTTGTTAATTAAGTTCATCTATATAGGACCTGTTGATGATTTATAATTACATTATTCTTTTTATCTAGGCGAATGAATAATGTATGTTTTTAAATATCTGTTTAATTTAACAATTTTTTACCTGAGAAAGTGATGATGCTTCTTTTTGTTTTCATTTGATCCAACGATATTACATGATGCCTACTGATTTTTTAATTTAATATATATAATAGTCATTATTTTGTATAAAAAAAATATATTCAAGATTTTTATTTTTACAAAATTAATATATTTTTTTGGACATACTCATGGATAAATTTTTATAAAAATTAATATCATATGACATATTTAGAAGAATTATATAAATTTTTTATTAAAGAATATTTTTGTTAAAAATATTTATTTTTATCATATCTTGTATTATAGAGTGCATTACCAAATATTGAATAGTATTATTTTATATAATATTTTATCTTATATAATACCATACCAAACACTGGATAATATTAAAATTTAATCACACCTTATACTATCAGGTCTTATCCTATCTTGTGTACTAATCATGCCTCAGGTCTTATA